TTTCTAATAAAAATTGCTAAAATAAATTATAAAATTTTATTATAAATTTATAGTATATTTTATTTAGAAGATTCAGAAAAATAGAAAATTTCTTATAAATAAATATTTAAAAAGATATCTTCAAAATAATAGAGATTATTTATACTATTCTAAATTCATTATATACTATATCTCTATATCTATTAATTTTTTGAATTTTTTTTTGAATTTCTATATAGATTTGAACTCAAAACTTTCAAAAAGATATATAGTTTTCTTTTAATAATTGTTGTTAAAAAGTTATTAAAGATTTTATAAAATTTTCAAATTTATATATGATTCCTATACAAATTAAAAAATCGATATTTTGAAGCTCTAAATCTCAATACAAAAGAATCCTAAAAATCTAAAAATCTCAGAATAAACTTAAATCGATCTAAATTATATATATATATATTTATATCAAATTATATTATATATTGATAAAGATATTAATAGATCTAAAAAGTGATTTTTGGTATGAAAGGGTGGCCCAAAACCCGGGTGGCCCGAAAGTAGGGTAACCGACTTACCTGGTGTATACTACTCTACTTCCCTGCTTTACATCTGTTTTATCTGACGAGTATAAGCTGTTGAATGTCCTCACACAGTCACACTCTTTAGACACTTCTATGTTTTGTTCTAACATTACTCACTCGCTCAATAACATTCATCAATTTTGTTATAGGAATCTCTTGTAAAATTTAAAATCATCCCACATCCACACTTCTCAACGATGTCAAACAACACAATAGGGCAAGATACCCAACAACAATCTGCTAATCAACATGGATTTGGAAACCTCAATCTTTCAATCGTTGGATTGGGAGTCGAATATCCTCCATTCTTACTGGAGCCTTCAGATTTAGATACTTTAACCAAACGTCACTATCCTGACTCTCCAGCGTAAGTTATCCCTTTCCCCCTCTTCTCTTCATCTCCTTCAGATTCTCAAATTCCAGTGCCCAATTATGTACGGAAATACACCTCATATCTCACACTAACCCTCAACTACCAGAATGAAAAAAGTCTGCACAATCAATAATTTTACCGGCATCGAAACCCGCTCCGCAATCGGTACCGTCGACCACCCCATGGCGAACATGGACCGCGCCCCCACAATCACCGAACTGTGTTCCATCTTCCTCAAAGACGGCGTTGCCCTCGCCGTAACCGCCTGTCGCAAAGCTCTCCACGAAGCCCATCTCCTCCCTTCCGACATCACCCACGTAGTCAGCACAACATGTACCAATAGCGCTAATCCCGGGTACGATCATTTCGTGTGCAAAGCTCTAGGAATAACACAACCGGTTGAAAAGGTTCTGCTCCATGGAATCGGATGTAGCGGTGGTTTGGCAAGTTTACGAACCGCGGCAAACTTAGCATTGGGACATAGTTTTCGAGGGAAAAAAGCAAGAGTTTTGGTCATGGCGTTGGAAATTAGTTCTTTATTGGTAAGAAGTGAATTGGATAGTGTACATGAATTGCAGGAGACGAGAATTGGTGTTACGCTCTTTAGCGATTGTGCGAGCGCGTGTGTAATCAGTAATGGGATTGGTGGGACGGGAGAGGAGGAAAGTGTTTATGATTTGTTGGGCTGGGAACACAAGATGATTCCAGATACTGAACATGATCTAGGGTTTGATGTTGATCCGCTTGGTATGTTGATATTCCTTTTTCCGAGTCCTATACTTACACCGATTTCTTGTGTCACACTTTCAAACAAGAAACTAATTTCAATCCCCATGAAAAGGCTGGAAAGTAATCCTCTCCCCACGCGTCCCTAAACTAGCTGCCGAAGCCGTATCACCCAGCTACCATTCCCTGATTTCCAATCTCCCCTCCCTCCCCTCTGAATACCGCAGTCCCTCTGACTTCGACTGGGCACTCCACCCCGGCGGCGCCACCATTCTCACCGGCGTCGAAAAAGCCATGTCCATCTCCCCCGAGCACATGCGGGCTTCCTACGATACCTACATGAAACACGGTAATTCCTCCAGTGCCACAATTTTTAGCGTTTTAGATCGTTTACGCTGTAAAGACATGGATGGTCTTACCCCCAATAGCAGAGGACCCAAAGAAATGATCGTGGGATGTGCATTTGGTCCCGGTATCGCGGTGGAAATGTGCATGTTGAAGAGGAATTTACATCATGTGAAACGAGAGTGGGATGGCGGGGTACAGAGCGGGGTAGGTGGGGAAGTTACACCGCCTTTGACGGAGAGTGAGGGGACGAGGAGTGTGGGTGAGAGTGAGGGGGAGGTGGAAGTAGAGGATTTGCGGAAGGTGAAAGAGGAGGGGGAGAAGTTGGATCAGAAATTAAAGATGGTGGAGCCGGAGGTTTTGGAGCAGAATGCAAAGTTGGGGGAAGAGGGGAAGGGAAATGAGAATGAGACATTGGACAGTTTGGAAGAGGCGATGGATGGAGTTGAGCTGGATTGAGAGATGAGGAATGATCAATGTGGAAAATAATGATGATGGGGAGTTCGGATGATATATAAGATGCATGGGTAACGAAAAAGCCGATTGTGTTCTGGGGGTGGGGGCGTATAGCATGTCAGTCAGAGTCGAATTCAGAGTCAATGAATATTAGACTACAGACAGCGTGCAGATAGATAGATATCTTGAAATAAACTTCTTTACAGCGAGCGAGTATTTAGAATATTGCGAAGCGAAGTAGGTCTTTGGGACTAGATTCATAGACATTAGATTCGTTGGTTTAGTGGAGAGTATAGGCCATGTTTATGATGAGTTGAGAGTGTATTGATTAGTATCAGGCACTTATCTAGAGCATTATAGATGAAATTGGAGGGAATGAGATGAGATGAGAGGAGACGAGAGGAATTAGTGAAAAATACATTGATTTTTATTCTCTCGAATTCATCTCTCTCTCTCTCTGTTTTACACGGATAGGTGCTAACAATATATCGTAATCCAACGTGAGGGTATTTCTATAGTTGCTATCATTTCAATATCAATACACGCCACACAACTCATTCCACTGTAATAACTTCTTTCCCTCCTTCCCTCTCTCTCCCTAATCGAAAACAACTTTCTTTCCACTAAAAGTCGCCTTGGCCTTCTCGTCCTTCGCCTTCTTGGCGGCCTCCCAACTAGGATGTAAAACTCCCACATCATCTCTCGTCTTGACCTTTTCTCTCGGTTTCACCTGCATCATATTCGCATTATTTTTATCATTTCTGAAATCGCCTCGTTTGCCTTTACTCAAGTCTCTAGCCTTTCGACCGCTCTTTTCCGCACGCTTCATTTCGCGTTCTTGTTCGACGGAGAGCCCGCCCGCCGCAATGTGTTTTGCGCCTTTGCCGAATTTCTTCTCCCAGAGTGCTTGTCGGGCTTTTTGACCCATGCGGTTTTTGCGCACGACGGGCTTCATGTCGGTGTCGGAGAGGGAGGAGGCGGATTCGGAACCGGACCAGTAGCCGCCCATGAGGGTGGGGAGGAAGGTGCTATTTTTAGTGGATTCTGTGGGGGTGGTGGTTGATTTTTTGGGCTTTTTGAGTTTGGGTTGGGGTTCTGGGGAGGGGGAGAGGGAGGGGGAAGTTTTGCGACGGGAGATTGATGGTTGGTCGTCTTCTGAGTCGGAAAGGGAGATTGAGGGGACGGGGGAAGGTGATCGTGATGGCGTTGGTGAGAGGGATAGGGAGAGGCGCGTATTTGATTTTGAGGTTGAGGGATTTTTCTCCAGGTATTCTATTTCGTCGAATGATTCTTCATCTGAGGATGCGCCTAATAGAGCGTCATATCTTGAAAGTGTTTCTTCGTCCATTGATTCATTTCCTTCATTTTCCTCATCATCTTCGGAATCGTCTTCGTCTTCGTCATCGCCAGGTGAATCAAACCCTTCCCAAGAATCCTCTTCATTCTTTTTCTTCGATGGTTTTTGTATCGTGTTTTCCATATCGACATCACTATCATCGCCCTCATCTTGCGCCGTCTTTTTCAAGTTCTTCTTCGAATCGTCCTTCACTTTCTCCTTAACCTTATCTTTACCCTTCTTCCCCTTATCCATAACCGGCGCTGGTATTCCCATACTCATATAACTCCCCCTAATTACTCCCTCCCAAACGCTCTTCACATTCTTAAAATTCCACATCCCACTGACAACATTATTCCAAATCTTCACATCCTCCTCTCCCCTTTCTCCCTCCCATCCCTTTACCCCTTCACCATTTTGTCCCCATTCAGGAGGCAAAAATCCACTCTCACTCATAACTTTTATCTTTCCCAGTCCTCTTGCCAATCGCTGTTCCGTTACTTTATCCAAATCCATTGTTTTCAACGCTTCAATCTCTTTTCGTATCCGCGCCATTTGCGCCGCATCGCTTGCTTTGGTCGCATTTGTTAATCGCTTTCCGAGTCGTTGTCTTTCAAATCCTTTTGCGGTTTTGAGTGCGCTGCGAAGTTGTTTGCGGGCGGAGATGAGATGGATATTGAAGTCATTTTGACGGGAATTGCGTACGCGGTCGGTGGAGGGAACAGAATCGTCCTGATCGGCAGAGGAGCGCTTACGTTTAGGCATTGTTTATTGTGATAAGGGTAAACTGCGAAGGATTTGAGGCTTTTGATATGGGAAATATACACTGAAATTGAATTGGGTGAAATAAATAATTTTGGAGCGCAGAAAATTAGTGCAAGATGGAGAGCTCAAAATTATGGCAGGGGTCAGTTCACCGCTCTCGCTTCTGGTAAGATTCTGGGCAGAATGAAAATGATTTCATTCGCCAGTTCGGGAAGTGGGGGTTGCGACGGGAAGTGGAGTCTAACGGTTGATGATTAGTGAGCGAACAGCCTTCAATTGAACGATGTTATTGAGGGGCAATTAAGTATAAATAATAGCATGAACGGTTATCATATGTACTTTCTTTTATCTAAGTACCGAATATATCATTATTTAACCAGCAGGCTTTGAATTGCTCATATCATATCATATCATATCATACCACATCATACCAAATAACAACATGGCGACCTCATCAATCCAAGCAGCAAATTTATTCAATGTCAAAGGACTCGTGGCAGTCGTCACTGGCGGCGGGACTGGTATAGTTTCTCCAAATCGACTAGGTGCCTAGCTCTCTAACGTCAAATTCTAGGTATTGGTCTAATGATGACCCGTGCTCTCGCTCTTAACGGTGCCGAGAAAGTCTACATTATCGGTCGCCGAAAAGAAGTTCTTGAATCCGCTGCATCTTCCGTAGATACCGGCAATGTCATTCCAATCGTCGGTGATGTAACCGACAAAGCTGCAATAGCTTCCATCGTCTCGAAGATTGAGTCCGAAGTAGGATACATTAATGTTTTAATCGCCAATTCCGGTATTCCTGGTCCTCAGGCTACAAAACCCATTACTCTATCTTCTTCAGTATCTGAAGTTGCTTCCTCGTTGGGAAGTGCTAGTATGGAAGAAATGTTGAAGACTTTTGAGTTGAATACTGTAGCTGTTTTCTCTTGTATTATGGCTTTCTTGGATCTACTGGATAAAGGAAATAAGAAAGGCAATGTCGAGCAGAAGAGTCAAGTTGTTGCTACCAGTTCTATTGGTGGTTTCAATCGAAAATCCCCTGGTGGAATTATTTATGGCCAAAGCAAAGCTGCGACTACACATATGATGAAGCAACTAAGCACACAACTTGCACCGTATGAAATTAGGTGTAATACTATTGCCCCCGGATGTAAGTTTCTAGAATCTTTCCAATGCAAATTCCTAAGGATAATGCTAATCGAGTTTAGTATTCCCATCTGAAATGGCCGCCGGGCTCATTGGTGACGGAGTTTTTGGTAAGGATCAAATTCCATTACAGAGGGTAGGCACGGAAGAGGATATGGCAGGATGTATTCTCTTTTTGACATCAAGAGCTGGTGCTTATTGTACTCACGTAGTTATTGTGGTTGATGGAGGACGATTGAGCATCATGCCTAGTACTTGGTAGACTGGGTACAGACAAGATACAGATGATTGTGTTGGAAAAATCAAAAGGCCATTTTGATGAAAGCTAACTTTTTGGGTCTTCTTGTTGGGCGATTGTAGTAGTGCCTGCGGGTTATTGCCGGAATTGGTTATCTCTCCAAACTCTTGATACAATATCATTCATAGAAATCCAAAAGAAAGTAATGAATACTCTTGTATTTCATTAAAGAATATCAAATATAAATACCTTTATTTCTCACAAGCCTAATCAGCAGCTGTCTCTCAATACTACTTCTGCAATATAATTATTCATGCTTCAGATAGTCGTGAGTGGCAAAATTATTATTTCAAGACAAAAAGAACTTCATGTGGAGTTATAATTCAAGTAAGAGTAATAAGAATACACATACAATTAAATTACTCATTCTCTCATCTGCTTCTTCAGGACTTATCCTCACAGTTACTCTCACGATATATAAGTCTAACAGCAGCAACTTGCTTCCAATATATCTCTCTCTTTCGAACGACTTACTGCATCACCATCATCCCGTGAGGAGAAACCAGTAGGAGTATTTACATTAATAGCTTATTTTTGTAATCTTACTATTGAATAACATTTAAACATTGTTTAACATTTTCAAGAAAGTTTCATTTGAAAATCACCATCTGACATCAACAAACATATTAATAAGTGTGTGAGAAAGATTAATATATTTGACTAATATTTAGCTTGAATAAGTCAGGCAGATCGATCCGAACGCGCCCTTATACTGTCTTTATGTGACTTCATCTAATATCGTCTCACTTCAATCCACCAAATGATAGTTGTATAACATTTAACGGAATTCCCTATGAGTTAAAGAGAAAGAGATGGTAGTGATACATAGATGAAGGCCTCTCTCAATTGCGCTGGATATACGACATTAGAAGTTCACCGTCAACATTTGGCCGATGGCCTCATCTTGAGCAGCGAGAGGTAAAAGAAAATGACGCGAGGGAACAATGGCTGAGTAAATAGGTGATGAGAAAAAAAAATGAATGTGTGTTCAAAAATTCCAGTTGATAATAACAAGAACAAAACGATTAGAGAAATATAAGAAACAGTTGGCACATGCCTAGACGTGCAATAAATCCTTCGAGACCGCTCGAACTCACACGCGTTTAGTACCGTAAAGCTATTTCCGACGACACCTACATCGCAAATGGCAATGATGAAAAGATCGCGACGATCAAGGCAAAAACGACAGAAAATGAGACTTGCAACAAAAAAAGGGCGTGTTCTTCCTGAAGTGTGTGTATTCATGATGTCGGGTACGTACGATTGTGCAGTGATTCACTACATACACCGTGATAACTTCCAGCAAATGCCTTTGTTGAATTTGGAATAACAGATGATATATGGAGTCTAAGAAACATTTGGTGGAATTCATCCCATTCCATGAGTCGGTTTAATGAGAGTAAACTCTTTCTTCAAATCCCGATAAAGGACGAAGTAGGAAGTTTGCAAGGAAAACAAATGAATGATCAACAAACATGAGCAGTGAGGAGGAAGAAGAAAACATAAGGGAAAGGAATGTAGTGAAAAGGTACCACTTAATTGTCCATTCGGGTGCACATGCCGACACAAGCTGCCAAAAACATTATCCAGCTTATGCCAAATACACGAGTGTCAACCCCAGATTCCCATTCGGTGCCTGACATGATATTCACATCTAGCTCAATGCGCAGCTTCGTGAGATCTGCAGCTCAAAACCATCGACTCAACGTATCGGTTGCTGCTGCCGAAAAAGTGCAAGTGGCGTTGATTACCAGAAGATAGACGTGGCTATCCAGACTGTTGATTAATTCTTGGCTCTTATCGAGAAGGATTTCATAGACGTCAATATGGACCCTTCGATATGAAAGATAGGAATGCGGGTATCCCGAGCCGGATATGATCGCTGGCAAGAGTCGACAGCTATGTGTAGTAGAGCAGGTGATATGCTTGGCAGGGTCCTATTCCTTGTTCATGTCTAATTCCGTAGCGCTGGAGGATGAAGAAAGTTTGAAGAGGATCCAGCCTCTATTGTGATAGGAAAGCTCTTGGCACGCATTCAATAGTTCTGCCAGATGAGATTCATTTCTTTTATTTTTCTGGCATTGTCTCTGGTCTGAGAATCGGAGTTATTGGCTTGTCACGAGAGCAAAGAGGACCCGATAAGATTCTTCAGCATTCTACCTCGGTAGATATATCTACGCTGAGCTAGAGTAAATTGACGGTGTGGCTTTGAATTGTAACATGATTGGGTGTGAGCAGATGTTGCTGACGCTGAGTGTAAGGTGGGTACTCAGTCTGACCTTAATTTAGTCCACTTTAACTCACTCTCCGTAAAAAATGTGATATAATCCACTTTTTAAAGTACCTTTGTATTAGATTGATAGAAAAAAATGAACTGTGACTTCTTGCCAAGCATTTCGTCTCCGAACTTTAGTCGATTGATGTGTATATTAAGGTACATACGAGCGGCTCGCCGGTCCGCTGGTAGGCGCTTACATGAAAAGCTAAATGGAATCCACAATTAGCCTCTCAGCTTTCGACAACTCGGGGCAGTGCAAAATCACCATGAAAGTAATTCCTAATACCACTGTTTAGCATTGATCGATGCATTATGCACCTCAAAGACTGTATCGAAATTAAGATAACAAGGACAATCATCAATTGGTGATCTTTAGAATGAAATTTCCACATGGTAAAAATCTGTATCGGACAGATGGCGGCACATGGGTGCGTGTTGTGGCATTTCGGATGTTATATTTAGCCTATTTGGCGACTTTCTAGATCCGCAATTCGTTTGGAACATAAGCGGTAGATGGAATTAGTTTCTCCCCGCACAATCCGAAGTGATGCCCAATAATCTACAGATAATTATATGGGGACCCCACAATATGTCAGGGAGAGTGTGGGGAGGCTCGATGCAGAATCTGAGGTGTCGTTTTCGGCGGTCGTGGTCTTGTATATCCCGGATAACTAATTAAGCTTATTGGCGTCCCCGGATTATCTGGATCATATGCAAGCAAATCTCCACAACGACGAGCGTTATTGGACCATCTTACAAAAATAGTCTATCGTATTGTAAGCTTATCACCAGACGACAATTTTGCTAAGTCGAGTGAAACGGATAAACTCAAATAATCCTAGCATCATCGCCGTGATAACAGCCATAATCGAGTCTGGGGATAAAGTCTAGTGGTAGAATAGAATTTTACCAAAGCCGAGGTGTCCCAGTTGTGAAAGCGGCGACGTTCGAATGTTAATCAATCTACATGCCATGCATATTTGCTCCGTACTGAGTAACTTCGCCATTACTTTTTTCCTTGCGGATACATTTCCTCCGCTCCGAATATGATTGCTGATCCTGCAGCAAATATCCGTGATTAGCACGGGCTTGGGCAGCTGTTAGAGCCCGCCCTCAATATAGGAGTTGAGTAACTAGAGCAAATTATACGTCAAATCATTTTTCTGCCATACTCGGCTGCCTTGATTGACCGGCTGTCTGCCCGTGCTTCCATATTCATCGATTGCCTCTGAAGATCTCGGTTAGTAAGTCATGAGAATGGACTTAGATGAAGTACATCCGGGGTGATGCGAAGATCTTGGCGAAGACAAAGACTATATAATGGATCTATCCTCGCTGTCAATAGTTCTACATCCTTCAAACACAATCATCAACATCAATTCAAAATGATTTCGAAAGTACTTGCCTTCACTTCTCTTTTAGCGGCCGCCCGCGCACAACAAGCCGGTACGCTTACCACAGAGACGCACCCTCCTCTCAGTGTCAGTCAATGTACTGCTAGCGGTTGTACTACCTCCAGTCAGTCGATTGTCGTCGACGCCAACTGGAGATGGCTTCACTCGACCACTGGTTCCACCAATTGCTACACAGGCAACACTTGGGATAAAACTCTCTGCCCCGATGGAGCAACTTGCGCTGCAAACTGTGCTTTGGATGGTGCGGATTATTCTGGAGTTTATGGAATCACCACAAGTGGCAATTCGCTCAAACTCAACTTCGTCACCAAGGGTGCAAACACCAACGTTGGCTCTCGTACCTATTTGATGGCTGCTGGATCGACAACCCAATACCAGTTGCTTAAGCTTTTGAACCAAGAATTCACATTCGATGTTGACGTTTCGAACCTTCCATGTGGTCTTAACGGTGCCTTGTACTTTGCTGCAATGGATGCCGATGGAGGATTGTCCCGTTTCCCAACCAATAAGGTATTTCAAGAATTGAAGACCCATTCAAGGATTAATGCTAATTATTATCAATAGGCTGGTGCCAAATACGGTACAGGTTACTGTGATGCTCAATGTCCACAGGACATCAAATTCATCAACGGCGTGGTAAGTATTTGATTCTCTTGGTATCCTTCGAACTTCAACATATACTAACGGTATCGCAGGCAAACTCTGTAGGCTGGACTCCATCTAGCAATGATGTCAATGCTGGTGCAGGACAATATGGTTCATGCTGTACCGAGATGGATATCTGGGAAGCCAACAAGATCTCTGCCGCTTACACTCCTCATCCATGTTCTGTCGACACCCAGACTCGCTGCACTGGAAAAGATTGCGGTATTGGAGCAAGATACGATTCTCTTTGCGATGCTGATGGTTGTGACTTCAACTCTTACCGCCAGGGTAACACCTCATTCTATGGTCCAGGTCTTAAGGTGGACACCAACAAAGTTTTCACCGTTGTAACCCAATTCATCACCAACGATGGAACAGCTTCAGGTACCTTGAAAGAAATCCGACGATTCTACGTTCAAAATGGCGTCGTGGTTCCAAACTCGCAATCCACAATTGCTGGAGCTCCAGGAAACTCCATCACCGACTCTTTCTGTGCCGCACAAAAGACTGCTTTTGGTGACACCAACGAATTCGCTACTAAGGGAGGTCTTGCCACAATGAGCAAGGCTTTGGCAAAGGGTATGGTACTTGTCATGTCCATCTGGGATGACCATACCGCCAACATGTTGTGGCTCGATGCTCCTTACCCAGCAAGCAAGTCCCCAAGCGCTCCAGGTGTCTCCCGAGGATCATGCAGTGCTACTTCAGGTAACCCAGTTGATGTTGAAGCCAACTCTCCAGGTTCTTCCGTCACCTTCTCCAACATCAAATGGGGTCCCATCAACTCTACCTACACTGGTGGAAGTGGATCCGTCCCAACTGTTCCAGGCACTACAACCTTAAGCTCGGCACCAGCATCAACTCCAACTTCTGGAGCTGGTGTCGCCAAGTTTGCCCAATGTGGAGGTACTGGATGGACCGGAGCTACCACTTGCGCTACTGGCCTCACCTGTTCTGTAGTGAACCCTTACTACTATCAATGCCAATAGATTGTTCCCCTCAGGAACAATTAGGTTTTCGACCTAAGCCGATAGATCTCCACAAGTCTGTACATAGGATCGGCTAAATGTTGATCATTCATCTTCTTTCATGTATTTAGTTGTTGACAATTCGAAGTGGGAAGTCAGACGGGAAAACAGAAGCAGGAAACATATGGGGGTATAAGAAAGTCAATCGTTTACACAAAACATTCTTTAAACATTCCAATCTTGCAATTTGACCTCGATAAGTGATTCTTCGTGAATGATACAATTGATTTGATGGATGAAGTCCTGATGGTAATCTTTGCATCCGCCATCGCCAATAGTGCACGGGCCATGGTGTGTTTGCTTATATAATCGAGTGAATTATCAAACTCCCCAATCCCAAGCAGCATTTCGCAACTTACACTTTCAGCAGATTCTTGACAAGTCCAGCCATCAATGTAACCTTCGATAAAGAGATGATATCCCATTCGTACTTCTTACTCGAATTGTACATCAATGACCACTCGATCATCTACACTAACCAAAAGATCGATATGCTAAAGCCCACAATCTCTCCAAAATGTGAGATGATACTTCTCAATTTTCCGCAAGCACGGCACGACCAGCTGACCAGTTTCTTGCGCAAATAAACTATCGAATTACAAAATCTGAAGATCAAAGCTACGAGAAAGTTTCAAGGATTTGAATGGTTCGAGCGCAAGAGGAGTATGTGGTGGTATCTTGCTCCACGCGAATGCTTTTCCTACGGCAGATGATATTCGAATAACAGGAGATGTGGCCTCGGAATCTGTCAATGTGAGGTTTCGCACAAATAACCTCCCCCTGAAAAAGCAATCGTCTATCGAAAAAGAATCAACCTTTTCTGCGAGAATTGAATCGGTCACATCCTAGTTTCATGAGTTGATTGAAGGGCATACAAAAAATGATGGTAATGGACAAACATTGATCTCTACGCATGCAAAAGCTATGACAACTACCAACTCACTGTCATCATCACATCATGCAGAGCTGAACGTATCTTTTAGTACTGCTAGACCGAGTCTCCAGATCGTTGTCACATATGCAGATTGAATGGTTTATTCGTTATGGATTGCGAGTTAATTTGCAATACTTTTGCCAGCAGTCCAGCCCAGAGTTGATTCATCAAGTATGCCCTTGTCGATATCTCGCCAGCCAATTTTCAATGCTTGAATTCGGGTTTAACCCAAATCAAACTCCAGACTGCAGACTTCCAGGCTAAAGTCTCCTATCATCCACGAACCGCCGTTGATTTTCCTCGGGCTACTATTTCAGACTAATAACGACAGAATTTGTTGTTTACGCTCATTGACGCGATTCCATCCGTCCGATTTTTAGGTCGGATGATCCCCCACCATATTACCAGTTTAGCTAACTGTCACTGAAACAACGAAGACACTCTCCAAATTACTGGCGCAATACTATCGCGTGGCTATAAGCCCTTTAAATTTAGTCCATTAGATTATTGAATGAAGGAAGTCTAATTTGAAATTTTCTTGTGAAGCGTTGATTCGTTCTCACCGAGGTCCTTCTTATCATCTAGATCTTCTTCCCCTGAATTCAGGGTCCAACTTAAGTTGGTAGATGTCCCCATAAATAACATCCTAGTATGTACTTTTCGTACTTTTCGTACTTCTCGTACCACGTACTTCAACTTCGCTTTCAGGGGATTTTAGCTTACACCGCTCTAGGTCCCTCCTTTCCACTCTCGCCACTGTAACTGTTTCATCCTAATCCAGATCCACAAATAGCCTAGACACAGCCTGCTGATCCAATACCGGCAATTAATCTCTGATATGGATTGTTTTCCGGTTGGGACCTCCATTCTCGAACTTTGGAAGAATCCAAAGAACCCTTAAAAATGCTCATCTCCACTAATAATCCACATCTAAAGCTTTCCCCGTCCGTGTCGCCGTATCCGCGTAATACGCAGATGTAACTGACCACATCCACAAATCACAATCTCTTGAATTCACATAAGATGTTGATCCTCTCCACCAAATCCGCCTCCGCGTCGTAAAACAATGAAGCAAAGAGACTCAAGATAGAAGGATGACAATGTTATTAATAACACTGAGACGTTGCGTAAACGTGGTAAATTAAAGCACCGACTCCCGATGTCATTACGCGGTGCAGGGCTCACTGAGCGGATGATTTTAAGCTGAATCAGGGGAAATGACATTCTCTCCATATGGTACCTTGACAATATTGATGGAACGAGCTCTTACATGGTAAGGTCAATGTGAAGTATATCTTTAAGCTACTCCTCTCAATGTATGCCATTGTCTTTTTACCTTGTTCTAAACTTTAGCTCTCTTTATACTTTGATCAATTGACACTTGCATTGATCGATCCGTTTCAGATAACGAGGCACCACACACGTGAGATCTACGACTCGAAGATATACAAAATTGGATATTTTCTCTAAATTCTCGAAAAAAATCCATCTGAATATTTTATTCAAACTGCTCCCTTGTATCAGCACTTCAAATCGACATAAAAATCAAAATGTTTTTCTCACCCTTCATCACTGGCCTCCTCCCAATTCTAGCAGCTACTTCCACACAAATCGAAGCTCCCCAGCATCCCAGCATATTCATCCTGAGCGATCATGCATCCAGTACCTCAGCACTGGGAAATGCCCTCCAAACTTTAGGGTACACGCACATCTCCGCCGAAACATTAAACAGCTCGTTACCACAACTCAGCACACATACATTTACCGAAATTTCTATGGACGGCGCGTCAAATGAGCTCATGATCCAATACCCAAATACAAAATTTATCGTTCCTGTCTCATCGCCGCGGAAACACGGAGATGGAGAAAGTAATGTGGAGAGAAGACCCTGCGCTAACAGCTGGCTCAATCATTTGGCTACGTGGAGTAAATTATCGCAATATACCTCAAACGTCCATGCAGCCGAGGACGTCACCATTGCTCAACCCGAGAACTCAGATTCCGCCGTCACGAGCTCGCTCAAAAGGGAGGGAAGATTATTAGAAATTGCTCTCGATGAGCAAGAGAACTATAGAGGCGAGAAATGGTTGAGATTGTGCAAGTTTTTAGATTTGGGATATAGTGTGGTGGAAAGATTAAATTTGAAGGAATTCCCTTCTTCGATGGGACAGGAGAAGAAAGCGGCGGGCTGGGGCGGAAGTTTTGGAATGTGGAGATTGGTCGTGCAGGGGAGTGGTGTTTGAAAGATCGATGGATGATTGAAAAAAAAAATCGATAGAAAAAAAGTCTTGAGCTGGATACAAAAATACTCCTGGCTAGGATATAGAAACGGCTGGTCGACTTGCAAATCTCCTGATGGATGCCGATGTTCACAATAGATGCGGCGAGGATAAAAGAACGTCACGTGGTATCAGGTAGACACGTGAGAAATACCCATTCTCGAAGCTGCATTTCTTCCACGGATACAACATGATTGAAGAGTCTATGTCGCGTTGTCTTTTTTTCAAGGGACAAACGGGAGTGCTGTCCATGGGAAACTTTGAAGATATATCGCTCTTAAATGCCCTCAAGGAACCTTAGTACAACATTAGATTAGATAGCTAAATCGAGATACTTTACTGATCAGATTGATTCATGACTTTCACTTTTACTTGATAAGTGGTGATACTATTCATTGTAAACTATAAATCCCCCGCCCTCTTATAACCACCTACCAATACAAGTGTACTGGGTGAGTAAACGAAGTCTATCACCACATCTTTCGCCAAGGAGGCAAGAAAACGAGTAATAAAGCATGAGGCCAAGCAAAATGCAATTAACTCGATATCATAATGCATTTCTTCTCTCATATTCTTCAAAATTCCAAACAGCTATGCCGATTCATTCAAGAATATGTGTTCCGGTGCCAGGTTATCGGATAAATTACTAATTTCGATTTCATCATATCTATGTCGGAATTTTATCGAAAACGCGGGGAATGACACAGGCTGCTGGCATAACGTATCGAGATATCTGAGCCATAAGGGATGGTTCTGGTGTGCTCACACAACTCTTAATGGTACGATAATTGTATTTATAGAATGTGAAAGATTAGCGGAGGTAGACCTGTCACCCACTGGACATTGTTCTTTTTTTTTTGCAGTGAGTGCACGAAAGATCATTGCAGGTGATTGATTCCATTTGAAATTATCGACTGCTCAAGAGATAAAAAAGAATACGACATTGCAATGTCCATTCATAAGGAAATTCCATGACAACATTCTGGATCTCGTCAATTTCAATCTCCATCTCCATCTCTTCATCACACATCCTGAGCACAGCGAATGCTCGCGTTCCATTTAGCATCTTGACGCGACAAAGACTCTCGTCTCCAGCTGATGAATATACTGCTGCACACTCACATTTTCCGGAGACTCGCTAAGGTAGGAGTTCTGAATATAATTACTCGCTGCAGAATTCACGTCAGCATTGGGGATACGGTTCAGTATTAGAGTCGTCAGGCATACCAAAATCTCTCAATTCATTCCACTCATCAATAATCTTCTGCATTTGGGGTCTCGCGAGTATCATTGGAGGTAAATTCTCAGTATCATTATCGATCAACTGTTTGATAGTCTCAAGATCCGTGCTCATGGATTTCCATGCTCCTTGGAGTAATTCGAGTGTGCGCATTGCGGGTCTGATTTCGCCAGTGAGATTGTTTACTTGGCTCTACAGGGTGATCGGGTTAGTATTGTGTGTAATCATACCGATGGTTTGATCACTTACGTTGACAAATCTGATGTTGAGTTCCAAGCGAGAAGCAGTTTTCTGCTTAGCTTCATACTCATCCATCACAGCTTGGATCTGTTCCATGGCTTTTCTCATGCCATTAATTTCGTTTCTGGCTGCTTGAACGAGACCGACTCCAATGAAAGTTCCAATTGGCCAACTAGATATGGTTAGTTGAGTTGGAGGAGGAAGATTTGGTCTGATTGACTTACACCCACATGTATTTGGGAGCATCAGTTAGCACTTTATTTTCTATGACGTAACGTAATAGAGTCAGTAAATCATCAACGACAGAAAATGAGAAGATCAAAGTTTCTTACTTCCATCAATCCTGGACTGGTATTCTTCCAATTCTGCCTGAGACGCATCAATTTTCTTTTGCATACTCGCAATATCATTACCCTCTTTGACTAATTGTGCCTCGAGAGAAGTAGCATTGACTCTCATTCTAGCTTCATGTTGTTCGCATTGTCCGTGGAAACCTTCCAATCCGGCTAGTGCTTGGTCTGCGCCAGCCTGTAATTGTTTGATCACCCTAAGCTCTTCGGTAACTATCCATTGTATACCTTCTTTGAGTTCCTTCAATTTTGCTTCATCAGGCTTGGGTTTGTTATTTTCGTTGTGGAAGTCGCCGATCCATTTTAGCATAAGAACTGTGTAAGAAGTTTCCTCGGTTCCACCTGACATTGTGGCGTAAATTCTGATTTGCGCTGCCATGTTGACAATGTTGCGCCATGTGTGATCTCTAAAGTACACACTGTCTGTTTTGATCTATATTGAAGGCAAGGTGATGTAATTATTAGTCAAATTTCTACTGCAAGACTTTCTCTTCGAGTGCACAATTTGAAACAAAGTGTCTTGGGAGAAACGATGGCTCAATCGAGATACGCACTTGAGTATAAGTCGTCACAAGACTGTCAACTTCTTTCGCCAGGTCTGTACTGAGGGGATCGGTTGTCAAAATGCCCAATGATCGTAGATAATCATTGCGGGTAGTTGGAAGCAATCTGCCTGTCCCGAGAAAACGGTTCAGTGCCTTCATGTCAGAAGAGTTGAAGATGAAAGCTCTCTCATCGTCGCTGGCATCAAAGCCAAACCTGGAATTAGCACGATTATCGACGAACATCCCCTTGGGGAACCAGACCTTTTCGTCATCAATTGGTCTTGAAGGATCGAACGACATCTTCACTGATGAGCTTCGAGAATGTTGGAAAAAGGTAAAATTTTCGATTGTTTCTGGAAAAATATATTGATATCAATGAGTAGGATGACGACGATTAAAGCAATGAATTCTTCCCTCTTTTAAATGTCTTTTGACAAGATTTCCGTACCAATGTACACTGGTCGTCGCACAACCATTGATCGAGTTTCAATTCTCAAAAATTGTGGCTGGCTATTAATCTCCATGGTTTTGAAAATCCCCACGTTATGAAAACATGTTTTTGTCCTCTTGCATCACAAGCGGTGAAACAACGGCTTTTCATATTTCCTGGTATGGGGTGAGAGTTGCATGATAAATTAAAGAATATTTGGGAAATTGTAACGCCGCTTAACATGTGATATAAATTTAACAATCAACATCTCAAGAACCTCAGTGATTGAAGTCTTGGCCATACATCCATTATCGCTTGATGCACATAGCTATAAGTGGAAATTTGGGGTATGTTCAGTGAAGAAAATGAGTGACATAGCTCACATATAAAGAGAAAACGCAGGGGGATTGATTAGAGCTTTCTCTTCTAACATTCCAGCTGAAGCATATCACTTGGCGATAGCCAGCAAAAAAAGCTGCGTATCCTGATAACATTATAGTCTTCTTGGCGACGTTCAAATTTGGAAGTACACACATGTGAAAGTCGAGCTGAGAAAGTTTGGGTTGCGGGGTAACATCGAGGTGAAGGTTGATCGGGGGAGATGCAGTAAAGTTTCTGACTATGAGTATAATGGCTTGCGAGTGTTACTTCCCCCACTATGTATCAGTAGCAGAATATGCGTGAAAAATATAACGTATGCCGATTATTTGCATTGTTGGGCAATTTGTTGCGCTTTCGTGGCGCTTCCTGCGTTGCGAAGCCTTAAAAATCAGCCCACAATCAATTGCGGATATGTTGTCAAAGCAGATTTCTTGATTCAATCCGATGGTATACTGAAGATCACCGCTCACACAAAGCAGAGGTGAACGTTGCAAATAAACATTCCCCGCATCTCTGCCGCAAGCCACTCGGTAATTAAGCGCAGCCGCCGCAAAATTTCTCACTGGCTATCATGTGTGCGGGGAAATTATTCTTCTTTTGGATCCAATCGGTACTCTCAAGTATGTCATCCAAGTTCTCGAGTTCACAAATAGAACAAAGTTGTGCGTACACAGCAGATTAACTCGTTGGGACTTGATGGCTTCTCGAATTTGCTTTCGACAGTTGCACTGCAAGGCGGGAAAATCAACCCCTCACTTTGGTTTACTGATAATTATCACATGCCGGAAGCGGCGGAGGTTTTGTTGCCACACAATAATGTCTTGACGTCCATTCAAACGAATGAGGTATTATTTCTTTCAGTAGTTGAAGGGTTAAACTGATGAATCAAGCTGTTTGCATTAAGAAGGCTTGAAAATAAAGTCGTAGATGAGGGGGTTAGCCATTTATCGCGGCCTTGTTTGTCATGGAAACGACGTCGGTTATTGCCCACTTGCACATCACTACTCCTATCAACTCAATCAAATTTCCTCCAGGTAGCCACCATGCCGACCACCCGTAAATTTAATTGCAATTCTTGGGGGCTGAGATTGTGGTGCTACTCATAATGTAGAAATCGATTGATTCAGGCTTTCTTCGCTTCACAATCTGTTCTGTGATGTCCCATTAACTCCTTCAGCTTGCTACCTTGCATAGAACGTGATATTATGATCCAGCAGTGCTTTGGATTAATTTTCTTTACATACTTCAAGTAAAGCTGGCTAACTATCATTGACGAAGAGAAAGAAATCGTACCAAATCAAAGTTGGGCGAATAACTCACTACTCTAACAATCTCGATCATTGAAACGAAGCATCATGAGAAATATCATCATCCCACAACCCAACTCACCATCTGGGTGGCAGGCTTATGCGAATGAGAAAGCCGTGGTCAGTATTCCACTACAGGCAGCTCAAGATGTTAACCAGACTTCGGTAAGTTATCTCGTCTATAGAATTCGACGTACAGTTGTTAATTTTGATCCCTACCATTCAGAGAATCGCAACATTTCGTGGAGTTTTCCTTAATGCTTCCACGGTTCTTCCACACTCTATGAGCCGAGTAAACACCTATGCCGATGTTCTTGCCCTGGACCAAACTACCATTATTGCACCCAATGATAACGGAACAATCCTTATTGTTGCCCGGGTTCTCACCTCAAACGGTCCAGTGACCCTCACAGTTCCAAGAGGTCTTACAACAACATGTGTCGTCTCAATCTACACGTCAGTAATCAACCAGCCAATCACAGTAGCCACAGGTGATAATACCAGGCGCATTGTCCTCGATCAGATAGGAACTGGAAAGGTCAATGCTGGAGTGATTGTAGTCTTTAGTCCGAATGGTCTACAAGTCGAATACCAGAGATACTATCCTTCTACTACTAGTAAAGAACTTCAAGCAAGTTTGAACACGCAGCTTCAGATTGGCCTTATTCAATTCTGGCGAAATAGTTCCATAGCAATTTCACTATGCTCTCATGTTGCAAGAATCAGTACTAGGCAACAAGCCTATGCCCTCATCAATACGCAAGCAAGAGCCCTCGGTCAGCAGCTAGCTGGCCAAGCAATGGCTGGAAAAAATATGAGCTATGCTCCAGTGTTGGTTCTCAGCCGATATAAAGAGACGACCCAAGCCGCATTAAATGCTGCGACAGCATTTGAACAACAATTTGAACGCTTTCAGGATAAGGCACAGTCCTTGGATGTTCACATGCAAGCATGGAATGTCATGTTGTCGCAAGCCATCAATGAGTATAACATGCGAGTCAGCATGCGCAGCTTAGCGCTCGAGAAATACGAGTCTTCTGTAAGAACAGCTACTAGCTGTTTTCAACAATTTGATAACGACGTTTTTGCTTTGGAATCTTTACGAATTGCTTTCCAATTGGGGTTGAGTAACTGGGCTTTTGAGCAAAAGTTGAGAGCTGTGTTCCAGATTCTGCAAGCAACCGTCAGTAAGTTAATTTACAACAACATGATGCTTTGATGATAGCTAAGAAACTCCTAGCTTTTGCAATTGCAGTTGGTCAGCTCTGTCTTGGTAGTCCCGGCGGAGTTGCTCAAGGCGCGATAGCTGGAAGACAGGCGATCGGAGCTGTTGTCGCAGCAGAGAAGATCGCTGGCCAGGTGAACAAAATTTTGTCCTCTGGTACATTACAAACTCTTCTAGACTGCATCGAGGCCCTTGGTACTCTGTATCCTTCTGTCGATACTATAGTGAGGACACTGATACAATTTGGAAATAATCCAAACATCAATATTCCTACCACCGGGGATATCTCTGGTACAAGTCGAGGGGACGCTGATGCTGCCGCTATCGTAACCATGGCTGCATGGGATAGATGGCTTCTAGAAGCCGATGATCAAATGTTGTTCGCAGTTTCAGAGGGTGTTGCAGGTGCGAGTGCGTACCAACTAGGCCTACGAAAGCACGCTATCAATGGGAAACAATTGGCACAAGCACAAGCAGAAGCAGTTAAATCTGGGTATGAATATGTTCAGACGCAGATGGAAGTAATTCGGTGTTCTCAAAACATCGCAGATCTTCAAACATTAAAGGCTGGGTTTGTGGGTCAAGAAGCTGTTTATCTTGAAGCCAAATCAATGTTCTATGACCGGGCTATGGCTTTGCGAACCAATGTCGTCCTCTCACTCCGAAATATGGCTTGGGCGTATCGCTATTGGGCGCTTGCTGATAGTTCAATTATTCTCGATGGACAAAAGCCTTTGGTTGAGTATCAACAAGATCTCTCTACCGTTATCATGGAGTTGGAACGCGCCGACTCAAGATGGGCTAGTGATCATCAACGTGAGTACTTGATTGTATTTCTGTCTTTCGCGAAGGTTTAATAATTTTATGTTAGCTTTTAATTATGACATTGCTTCGAATACGGTAGGATAATCCTGTTTGCCAAATCAATATCCTGCTCGTTTTGGCAGTTTATTACCACAAGAAAAATTAACTAACTGACCTGATATCACAGCTCCCTTCCAACCAAGGGCAATCAATGATCAATGGCATCAAAAGTAATGACAACACTGCTAGTTTTACTCTTCTTACCGATAAACATCTTGCAAGTCAATTTGTTGAGGGGTCTCATTACCGGTTGAACGGTATGGATCCTACTCTAAATGGGATTCTTCCTAGACCCGAAGCAATGCAAGGTGGCGTTGTTGTTGTGAAATTGCAAATCACAACATCAGGTATCTATTCAGATATCTACAATAACCAAGTATTCCATTTCTCCAGTATCCCCCAGGTAAGAAGGTGCTCATATGATCTTTATTCAAATGGCACGAGAGGTGCGACACGTGACGAGCCTATATTCGAGACTAAAGATCATGCCGAGCCCACTCCCTTTACACAATGGAAGATCAAGTTGCTGAATCCTGGGGAAGTCAATTTGAATGGATTGAATGGAATCAATTTGAAATGGAAGGGGCGCGTTCGCTTTGATGAAAGACATCGATTGATTCGTGGTGTTGAGGAATTGTAGGAATGTCCTATGAGGTTAGCATAAAGCCTCGATAATGATTATCAGATTGCAATTGCTTATTTAACTGGAACATGAAATTTCAAACATACCTACACAGTAATCATGACGGGCTGTTTGATATTCGTACTTGATATCGTTCAACAGATTATAGTTTGTAGTCCTTATTGACTACCGACCGGTATGTAGGTAGATATGCCACACCATACCGATCATTTTGCGCACGGATGTATTTCATCTCCACTAAGGTTAGCCCGAGACTAATTTCCTGGAGAGCCTAGTAACGTGATATGGATTGGTCCGCTTCCAACGTCGATCAAGTCATCATACATTTACTCTAACTCGAGACCTGTGTCTTTCCGTACCCTACGCTGATTCAAATATGGACCTGGAGCTCGAGTTCCCAATACTTTCCACATATTTGAGCCGTCGATGGACCGATCTTGTTATGATTTCCATGTCACTCAGATACAATCCTTGTGAGTATTATGGGTGGTGTATGTAAGATCTGTTGTTTGGTTTCTCATCTGTGAGTTGGGTTACATGTCAACCACACCAATTTCTTGAGAATCATCCTGCCAATTGATGATTGAAGCTTTCACCTCTTGGCTAGCTGGAATTGGAACTGCGACGATTGAATAGACACGCCACACTTGAGCTTCTGCCCCGAATTTAGCTCAAAGCACGAAACGAGACATGATGGGGATGTGGGGAGCCTCAATTCTTGTCGCTATGGTGGTGATGTCGAAGACAAAAACTCAGAAAGAATCGATGAAGATTTTGTGCGTGGACCAGATGACATCAGAGCGCATATTGGAAGCAAGTTGGATTATCTTGAGGATATTTCAGAGGCTTTCTGCCATGATGATGTACCTGACGCACCGAATCCAGGGATATTGATCGGTAACAGTGAAGCAATTCGATTTCCATTTTCCCGTCATGATATTGACAAAATCGTTGTGGCAAGTAGGCAAATGTGCAAGAATGCCACAGCACATAACCGGAAATATTGGTCTATCTCAGCAGATAATTTTAAACTGACAAATCCATCATGGAACAAGACACTAGAGTCAATCCTCCAGGAAGTGGGAGAAAAATTGCGGTTAGGATCAAGAAAGTTCGATGCTACTTTGACCAATCTAATCCTATCTGATGACGGTACCAGTTGCGAAACTAATGTGCAAGTTCATCTCAACCGGGAGCTCTCTTCTTTAGTAACAAGTTCCGTCTACAGCCCAGAGTTTTCCGCTCGTAATTACGCAACGTTGGATATCATCTTACCGTCGACGAGGGCGGAAGAGAAAATTGTTATCAAATCTAAGAATGTCTGCATCCATGAACTCACAGGCCCAGAACTATCAAACTGGGGCTGCTCTTCTTCTTTTGGATTGGTAAAGGCATTCTTTTTGGTCCTGTTGTCAACTAACAACTTCGCAGTTTTCAGATCTTTCAATTACAAGCACTACACCTATCTCCGGTCATCGCCTAGCTCTACGCTATTCTCTTCGTTATACTTCGATCAAAGACATCAGTAAGCGTTTTAAATATTTGGCCTTCAGCTGTTCCTTTAAATATGATGAGCAAGTGTATAAAACGTTTGATTGGCTGTTGTTGCGTCACAGATTTGAGTGACCAATTTTGGAGTGGTCTCACAGTCTGCGCAAGTCATCGATTTTGAGACCCCGAACTAAATGTCTTTGTAGCCTCCTTACCCGCCCATGCTAAGCCTTCGATCAATTTACGATCCACTCTACGTCAATGGACTGACAACACTAGTGTCGCTAATAACATCTTGACACATGTACTGAAAAAGGATTATGGGAACAGATGCTCAGACAAAGATCTGAGATTGGATGATTCGTTTGTGATCACTCAGCTCAAAGATGTTTCAAAACACGCTGGTCTTTTCTTATGCCTGGGTAGACTAATCATGACTCTTGAAGGTGTTACCAGACCTCCTGAATTGGATGGTATTCGACGTGGTGAGCGTAACAGGTACGAAATTGAAACCACAAAATACGAACTGGGTCGTGTGAATTACCTGGATAGTGAAGTATTGTTCAATGAACGCAATTTTGAAGTGGAAAGCTGCATTCAAAACCTCAAGGATATTTTTGATGGCGGTCTATCCGATGATCGACAATTGGACTTCAACAATAAGCCTTTCTATCAGCCTTTCCATCAAAGGTACTATCGGACGGTAGAAAATTCTTTCAAACATTACATTGCTTGGTCTAGCTTGCTAAAACAGTCACAGGTCGTGCTCATTATGCCTCGCAGCCATAAAATGAATTTTATATTAAGCGATAGGAAAGACGAACTTGTCTTGAATAACAGTATTCAAAAATTTATCGATGGCATCCCCAAGAGCCCTGCAGACATACCATCTTGAATTAAGCTCGAACTTGGAATTATATGCGATCTCATGGACAACTGGGAGACCCTAGAACCTGAAATGCCAGATTTCCCACACAACGCACGCTTGGCGGTCCTTAAAAAATAGTGAGTATCGACGACGAGAGATTATTGGCACGTTTGTTGCCAACATTTTTCTCCGGGAAGGTTTCCAGGTCTATGATGGATGTCATGCGCCGGAGACGTGGATCCGAGTGGCTCACCAGCATGTGAGTCAAGATCAAGAGGTGATGCATCCAATGCTAACACCAATTTAGTGTCGAGACTTACATCAAACAATGCAAAGCATTCAACGATCAATTTAAGGCCATTCGTTGGTTTGGGACCTTTTATAAGCAACCTGGATGGTCATATGATCAATATAAAAGAATAATGTCTTCATCCTTGCAACTTCGATCAACAGAGTGCTGCGTAAGTCTTTTCAAGTTGGCTGGTCTCTGGGAGGCAAAAGATAATATCGAAGTGTAGGTTGCTTCAAGTACCTAGCCAATGCCTATTTGTTGTTACTGACCAATGGTTTATTAAAGTCTTTTACCAGCCATACAGCGAGAAAATAACGCCACCACGATTGTCACATTTTTGGGACTCTTGGTCACCAGTGAGCACTACTGGGAAGAGAAGTTATTTGATGCCGTTTTCAGAAATGTTCTTCCAGGAATCATTGACGATATTGATCTTGGCTGGACCTCGACTGGACGTATGGATTACTCTGCATTGGCATCTATCATATATGTTGCATACAGTATGGATATGCTTTCAGAAGTGAAGGCTATTCTAGAGAATATCTCTACGAAGATACAGGACGCTTGCAAATGCTTTTACATCGAACATCTTCTGCCTTTCACTCGCGGCTTGATGGTTGAATTTCAAAAATGTTCGCCTGAGGCATTGCACTCATCTCAAGTTCAACAATTCGCTCACAAGGTTATCAATTCGTGGATACTGAAGTTCAGGCCTGCGAAGCCCACATCATTATCATGGACTCAGGGTTTCGAAGGGTGTAGCATCAAGTAATGCTCATGGTGTAAATCCTTGCAAGAATTCTTGGTTGATCCGATGAAACAAAAGACTACTATTTGGATGTCCAACACGGGAAACGACAAAGGTCATTTGCAGCACCTGACCGACCATCTCCGTTCCAACGAAATACCACACTCGACCGAATACTCAGAAGACAATTCAGTAGAATTAAGCCTTCGGAAGTTAAGTGCACACCCGAAGGCCGTCTATCAGAAATACAATAAGGCGTTTCAAGGCGTGCGATATGAGGTCGTGACTTTGGGTCTAGAATCCTTGCAGTCATTCCTCGGTGAGCAATTTGAATCCGTTCTCCAATTGAACCCGATAGAATCTGAAACCCCGAGCGCATCTCAAAGCGAAGCCAGCTCAGCCAGCTCGGCGAGTACTAGACGTTCTCTCCGACTCAGAGGTCAAAGAAACAACTCAGCTGGCTCTTCTGGGTCGATTGGTAAAGCCGCTTCCTCAAGCACTGGAAAGGATGATGTCTTCGCCGTACCTGCGGGGCTTGACAAGACTCTTTTGGAGGAAAAGCATACAAACAATAAGAGAGCAAGTGAAATTGAAATCTCTAACTTTAGAGATGATCCTGTACTCACAGAATCACGTCGGAAACGAGCTCGAAAGAGTCAGAACTAGCGGAGGTCTCAGGTAGAGATTTTTCAATCCTTTTGACAGTCAGGATTGAGTCATGCTCTTTATTTACTGCATTTTGGATTTTTTTGAAAGAATGTTAATGTTTCAAACGTGAACATCGTACTGGAATGAATTTTTTTCGATGGAGATGCTTTTCTTATATGACAGAAAGTGACGCTTTTATGAAAATTCGGAGGTTTATATAATTCTCTATTTGGTAGAGTCTTTGAATCATATGACTGATTTAACTCTTCCTTCTAGCAATTTACTCTCGTTGCAAATAGTTGAGTAAATCGAGTTGAAAAATGAATAGGATTAGCGTTAGAAAGTTCTTTAGCATGTATGATATTCTATTTGGTAATTTTGGTTACAAAGTTGGAAAGTTTTTGTATTGAGATTAGGAAATTTATGTTTTGGATAGTTTATATTTTACATAATATAATAAAGTATTTTATTTATAATTATATTTATATCGATTCATAGGATTGTAAGAGAATAAGTACTTGAAGATTAAGGGATTAAGTCAGCGGTTGAAGTATTATGAAACTATAATCAAAATCACTGTTCTGAGTATTCTAAACCGCCGTACTAAGATATATTATATTATCTACGTACAAAAGGTTTGTTCCCTGAATATAGGTGGCTTCCTGATGAGCCTAAGGTCCTTAGTCATTACGTGACTGTAGTCATAACGATAAACCTCCTCTCAATGCATAGACCCCAATCTCAGTCTCGGACGGTCCCTTCATTCCGTTTCCTCCCAGCGCAGCGGCTTATTCTCAGCAACCCACGCCTTCTCCGCCTGGCTACCAAATGGCGGTGCATACATCCCGTTGACCTTCCAAAGGCGACGCTCCGTCTCGTCAATGTGATATTCCCAGTTGTATCCTTTATCCTCAATGTGAGGTTTAAGCGCCTCATCAACTCTCGAAGTCCACGAATAGTGTTGTGCATCTTCCATATGAACTGCGATATGGTCGACTGCAATCCGAATGAAGGGTGTGGTTGGCTGGTCTCCGCCAACGTACATGTTTACATCTGAGACCTCTGTGAAGACAACAACGACATAGAAAGCGGGTAGACCGACATCAGTGTAGAGTTTGGTAATGTCCTGTGACAATGACTTTTTGGACTTCTCATCGTCGAATGCATGTTTGGTGTGATAAATATTCCAAAAAGGCATTTTTTGTTTAGATAAATATTTGAGTGGTTGCGGACGTGACTTATTTGAGAACAAGAGTATTGAAATGCGTGTTGAGAATGATTTTGCTACAAGCTCTCATCCATCTCGTTTGATTTATACGCGCCAACAACCTCGGTCGGATGACGTCAAAATGATTACTTTTACCAGTCTTGTTATTAGGGTCGTCTTAACTGAACAGGGTTATTCAACTGCCGCCCGCCCGGACAAGAATACCGAGTTAAATGTTCTGGGATTACTATTCATCGTTCTATGATTACTGATCATTGTTCAGGTGAGACATTGCCGTGATAGGCTGATTTTCTTCTGCCAAGATAATGTATCGATAAATTTATATCGAAGGATACTGTGCCCACACCGAGTTTCATAAATCAGCAATTATGATTGCTTATAGGATTTACCAGACTAAAAGTCTATTCTTCGTAGATAGCTCGTGTATCCATATATGGTTCGATTTCTCATCAGTAATCACACCTGGTAAAATAGTCCACCCGAGGCTTCAAAGAACTCTATATTCGGTGATGTCTCTCGGGGAATGATTCCAACTCTTGTATAGTACTATAAGGTTCCATGGGAGATTTTTGAAGTAACTACAGGCGGCTTATGCGTTGTCAACTTTCTAATTTGCCACTCCCATCTTTATTAAGCCATCATCACCAAGTCAAAAGTTCTCGGTAGTTTGATTATCAGAAAATTCAAAGAGACAGATAAATTTAGACTGCGTGCAGTTCTGTTCGCTGTACAAAACCAAATTTCACCTGTTGCAACCCCAGAAAACACGGCTCGTCCATCTCTCCACCGTTCAAAACAGCCATGCCTCTCCGTGCCAATGTCTGCATCGTCCCACCAACTCCGTGGGAGTTGCCAAACACGGGCGGAAAGCAAGGAGGGATCTGGTCGCCAACATCTCTCACTTTGATCCATGGCGAAAAGGAGGCGCTTCTCGTGGACACTCCGATCACTATTCCTCAGACAGAAAAAACTCATTGAGTGGCTCGAAAAGACAGTCCCAGGAAAGCGCCTAACAACCGTCTATATAACCCATGGCCATCCAGACCACTGGCTTGGCCTCTCAACTCTGAAAAGAAATACCCGGACTTACGCATACTATCGACGGCAGCCACCTTGGAGCATATGAAGTCCGATGTCCGCCCAGGCTTCTTTGAAAATGCCTGGGGAGCTATGTTCCCCAACGGTCAGATCGATACCGATTTTGTGTTTTCAGAGGCGCTTCCTGCTAGCGGGAGATTTGATATCGAAGGCCATGAGTGTCACGCCATTGAATTGGGCCATTCTGATACAAGGGATTCAACCATTCTCTGGATCCCGAGCCTCAAACTCGCCGCTTGTGGAGATGTTGTGTATGGAGATGTTCACCAGATGTTAGGTGAAGCAAACACGACAGAGCTTCGTAATGAATGGATCTCGGCCATCGAGAAGGTTGAAGCTTTAGGCCCTGAAATTGTGATAGGGGGACATCGGATGAGTGGGGAGGTAGACGGGGTGTTCCACTTGGCTGCAACAAAGCTATACATTCAGCAATTCGAAAAGCTTCTGCCAACTTGTAAGAGTTCTGACGAGCTCCAAGCAAAGATGGAAGAGCTATACCCGAATAGATTTAACCCCAACGTCCTAAAATGGGGTTGCAATGCTGCCTTCGGTTTACCAATGTTTGAGAGGCTGTAAGCAGTGTTCCCGCAATCTCCCTCCACCTCCCTATTGTCGACTGCTGGGAAGGAGTGGGTGACACTTCCTAGACTGAGAGCCTCATTATGAGCAAAACTGGTAGTCAGCTTTGAGACTTTTGTATAACTGTAGCGCTTTCCTCCCCTCTCTTTTGGCTACGTTGTTAAAAATGCATATAAACGAGAAGATAATTGATTATGCAGTAGCTATTCCTGCAAGTATATTGACTGCATTAAGACCGACGTTGAACTTTTGATATCTTTCAGAAAGTCTTTTCTCTCCATCCGGTAACCACTTACCACTAGTATAGTGGAAGAAGTGATCATACTTCTGCGAATTAGTATGTGTTGACAAGCATTTTTGTTTGGACTGAATCAGACGTAATGTTCTGGAAGACGCGGGTAGAATTCCCAAAGTGTGTATAGCAATGGGCATATATAATGGTCGACATATATGTCCACAACCAATATGGTGCCACAGCATGATGAGGGTTTTATGAAATCACACTGGCGCCCGTGATGACAGAAGTCTCCTGTTGTGCATGGTAACTTACATGGAAGAATTGATTCTGGCGTTCTTATTTGAAACTTAGAGTGAGCGAGAAGAGAATTATGTGTAGTCATATTCACTTGAATTGCAGTACAGTACCTAGGTACCCAGATAGCTCATGAAGCTGGTGTAATAAATAAGAAGGTCAGCAGTCCTACTTCGCCATTGGACGTTTGTCTTTGGTCGTGCATTAGATATGATGACACCACGTGACTAAGTTGACATTGATTACTTCATCCACAACATGATTGGCATTATCCAATGAAGTTTCAGCATTTACTCAGGCTGTCGGTAGGGACACATGCTCCGAAGGTTTAAGATTTAGTGGCCTGGTGGCTCACAATTCACTAAAGTGACGTCTCTTACAGGGAGGGGCTACAGGGGCTACAGGGGTTTCAAGTAGCCCACACATCATTTCGAGGTTTGAATGAATAATAAATGAATAATGATCCATCAACACGATATGATACGGTCATAGTGATATGATACATCGACTGCATTTTCTATCAACATACATCCCATTACACAACTTAACGACTGACTGAATCATTCGACTTTTTATCAACCGGAAAGATTATATTCTGCATACGATACACATTTTACTCCCTACACTTACTTCTACTCCAGTTTTCCCTCACCGATTAGACTTCAACAGCCCAAATTAATCGATTCAACGTCAGTCAACCCATCACCATCCACATCCACATCAACACCCACCGCTTCTTGTCTTTTCTTTTTACAGCTGTGCATTGAAACGCCAGCGAGGTGTTTGTGACTCAAAATGGCAGACCATGCATTTGCACTCAGGAGGGAATTTATTACAGGACTCCCCAAGATCTCTTCATCTTCATCAATCGCAGATATGAGAATAACCGAATCTCAAAAGTTGAAAGTCCTGGTGGCCGCAAATGGAAGTAAAGATGTCGCACAAGCTCTCGCCCTCATCGTGAGGTTATCCAAGAATCCTAAGATCGAAACTCGAGCGATCATTGACGAAGAAACGTGGCCATCATATCGATTATCCCAAGAGACACTGGCATACCAAAATAAAAGGTTCTTGACGAGGGAGACGGATGAGGCAAGAAAGGGCATAGAACGAGATCAAATCGAATATTTTCGACAAGAGGCCTTTGAATTGTGTGACTGGGCAGATATACTAGTACTAGCACCTATCGACGCCGACACGTTTGCGAAAATGTTGCACGGCATAACCGATTGTCTATTGCTCGAAATTCTCCGTGGGTGGGACGTTTCCAAAAAGATATTACTTGTACCAGGAATGACAACATCTATGTGGGAAAACCCGATCACGAAGAAACAATTGAATAAAGTACGGAGAAAGTGGCAATGGGTCCGAGTTATGCAACCAATACTGTGGCACTATGATGCGAAGGGGCCAGGTAAATGTTTCGTCGGGTGGGATGGATTCAGCGAACTTGTTGACGTTATCAAAAATCAAGCGGAACTTTTGACAATCGGACATGATGTGGATATCGCAGCATCTGGTGCCGCAAGTCTCGCAAGATATAATATGAAAACGGATGCGCTTCTTCCACCAGAGATTTGGTCCCTCATTTTCGAATACGTAGGAGATTGGGAGGTTTCGAGGGCGCTCAATGTGTACGCCAAAATACCGAGGCCAATTGAATGGCAGCGAAAGCCCGACGATACAAAAGATGAATTACAAACTTACATGCGATCACTCGAATGGATTATTCTTACATCTCCTGTTTACAAAATCATCGACAAACTGAATACTGCCCCCGAGAACATGCGAGAGCTTTCTCCACTATGCGTCAAACTCATCATCAAGTTCTGCCTTACGGAAGTTCTCTCATATCTGGAAACAAAACTAAAGGACGTGTTTTGGGCAACTTTTGGTCAGAAACTTTTACCCACAAAAGCGTCTGCAGTTTATGGACGTACCGAAATTCTAGAATGGTGGCGCACATCTCCTTCCTTCTTGTCCAAGGACTATACTGCAGAAGCAATTGATGGAGCATCGAAATCTGGATATGTGCATGTTCTCGATTGGTGGAGAAAATCCGGACTTCCTTTAAAATACACAGAATTGGCACTGGAACAAGCATCTTCTAAGGGTCATATGCTAGTTCTTGAATGGTGGAAACAAGCAAGTCTTCCCCATAATGAAGCCGAAAGACGAACTCGACATGCAGAAGCTACAACCAACACCTCTGATGTTCTTCCAGCTTTACAACTCAAACCTGGTAAAGCACTGTTAGCCGCAGCGCAGAACAATAAAGCTCTCGTTCTTCGGTGGTGGGATAATTCTGGTATCCCTATCGCACATTCGGAATCCGTGGCTAAAGTCGCATCGGCACATGGCCATGTCGCATGTTTAGATACCTGGCGTGAACTCAAGGGCGAGAAACTAGCATTCGATAATCAGGTTCTAGTCGGTCCTACGAAGAATGGTCACGTAGAAGTTTTGGAATGGTGGGCAAATCTGAGTCATGGATCGAATGGGAGACCAGGAGGAAGAGTCGAATATAAAACTTGTGATATAGAGGAAGCGCTTGAAGATAGTGTAGGAAACGAGGGAGAGGAGTTGGAGGTTAGAAGGTGGTGGGCGAAAATGGGATTGAATTTGGGGGGATCGGTTAGTGAGTGGACGAGGGTGAAGGTTCTGTAGATAAGATGATGGGAATTGGGATGTCATGATATGATGTTGGTAACGCACAGGGTATATGGGTACGGATGGATGGTCTGGGGTGCATGGATTTGGAATAAGCATTTACGTGGAGTTATATAGCGTGTTTGATATCTGAACCACTCTGAGTATAGTACGATTGTTTGATTTCGAATAGCCTGTGTCCGTTTCCAGATGTGCCTTTTATCGAATGATTTTCTCGTCAGTAAAAAGCGCTGGCGATATAGTCGGTCTCTTACCACCCAATAGAACCATGCATCTGTATAATTCATAGTTAATCATCTCTAGTCGGTGCTCTCACAGTCCGTCTCTTTATACTCTGTAGGGAAACGTCAAATTCTCGAATCATAACTCATAATCAGAGGAATAATCTCTCATGGTTGACTTTTCATACAACGTGGTATGAAAGATTAGGGGAGTTGAGTAAGGTACGAGGGGGTGGAGATGGAGATGGGATGGGATAGAGATAGGATGGGATGGAGATACATGGGATGGGATAGAGATAGGATGGGATGGAGATACATGGGATGGAGATGGGATGGGATAGAGATGGGATGGGATAGAGATATATGGGAATTTGTTGTGTGATGGATTGAGGGTGGGTGGTTTTCTGGATGTTTGGGGGAATGGTGTTTGTATGAATGTTGGTAGGCATATTTGTTAGCTTTCAATAAGACAGCTAAATAAGTATAAACCACTCACTAGAGTTTGCACTGCACACGTATCATATAACCAGTATCTATCTATTCATCTATCTATCTATATGTATATACCCCGTGCGACAATCCGAGCAAAGTGTATTCTTTTATCTCTAATTCTTGGTTTAGTTCTAGGTTAGTGGACACGATGGCAATGTAAGAAGAAAATAGCAGGCGAGAGAATGAAAATAGAGAGACCTTGGAAAGTGATTGAATCGTTGCATTTTTCTCGGTTTGCTACTATTTGTTCTTGTTTGTTGTGTGAATGGGGTGTAAGTGCTGATTTATGTACGGATTGGCGAGAAATAGGTCAGTGTATGTAGAGCTGAATATTCTTTGTTTTGGGAGGTGGGGGTGAATATGGCTAGTGTCTTGCTGTTTACTGACAACGTCGGAAGTGGTCGTAGAGTCATGGGGTGTGTTTTTACTGGACTTACAGTCTGTAGATGGTGCGTTGCTCTAGGGCTATTGTCGGATAGATCACTTGTTAGCGCTCTTACTCATTGAAACAGCAAGTTCCCCAACAGATGACGTACACACATGCAATGCACACTATCTAATGGCATGTAGGGGAACATTTTGCGCCGATTATCAAATGCAGATGTAACTTTAGATGTGAACAAAGATGTGGAATGTCAGTACTCACAATTCATCTTCCCCAACGTTCATTTGCAATATTTAATCCGACATAAGACAGACGACTTCTCCTTAACTGACTTAACACGAGCTCCACCATGACGCCCTACAATCGAAAGCAAATGTTCAGCTTCCAGGAAACACAAGCTTGAGCCCAGCATAACGTACGTTTTCGTGGCCTCATTCACTATAGAAACAAGTCAGTCTTATTAAGCGAGATCGAATCCGAAACCCAACCTTCTAACTCCCTCACTTTCTCCTTCATCACTAACAATGCCGCTTTGAAAAACTCCACATCCCTCTCACCAAGACTCGTCCAAGTATTCTTCACTATTCTCTCCACATCCTTCAATGGCGATTCTCTAGTTCCCCCCATACCCTCCATTTGTGGATCAGCGCCAAATTCCAATAACAACTCTACAATAGGGAGATTCTCATATCGAGGCATAAAATCGAAGTGGAGAGTATCAGTAGCATAATGAAGTGGTCGCCCCCTACTCTGTTCAGCACGTCGGACATTGTCTAGGGCGTTTGGATCAGCACCAGATTCAAGCGCTTCGCGCATGTTGCTAAGTTTTTCGGCAATAGGATGACCTGATACGATTTCCGAGTGGAGGAGAAGTTCTTCGACGTACTTGAAGGGTTTTCTTGGAGGACCTGGTGCGGACATTTTTGAGCTCATGGGAAAGATATTGGATGGTTGAGAAAAGCAGTATGTACGTGTGAGAATCATGAGTAGTGGATGAAAAGAGTTTTGACTTCGGATAGATAGAACTGAGTTTATTAAGTTGTCTAATCGATATACCAACAGATGGGACTAGCAGTGGGTCTTTGGCTTGTGGTGTGGGCACTCAAGGTGTTTCCCCTATCAACATCGTTACCATCTTTCTCTATGGTCTCTTCCTTTATATCTCCGATTTCTCATTACAAGATGTAATCAGAAGATTTTTTTCTAAGTATGAGAGAATCAGAGCTCAATAATTAAATTGTACGTCTTTGAAATCATCGCTACCACGGTTTTTCAATACAAATAGTATAATTCGGAGGAAGCTAGCTAGGGGATATTTCACTTCTCGGGTAATTGAACTAATGCTCTGGGCACTACCATCTCATTTTGAGCCTTTTTTCACCTCTTCTTACATGCATTCACAATTTGGTCGGAATTTTGGTTGAATTCAACCAGCTTTGGTAAGGATTTATTTGTGTATTCTACACGTTATAGTGAATCTGTCGTGGTAATGGTTCTTCTCAATTTGAATGATCATATTTTACTAGGTCTCGAGGTGCTGTACCTTAGTGCACTCGTTCCATTGCCACATAAAGAATCTATTGGCTATTACTGTCCCTAGACTGCCATATATGTTTCTTCAAATCATACATGACTGTATTTCAGCATGGAAGATGAAATAATCAAAAAAGTTGTATTACTATGTCTTTTTCTGTTCTATATGTCAATAATTATCCTTTTCTTCTCGACTATAGTTCATCACAAACCACCTTTCAAATAAAATAAAATTACATAACAATGTCTCCAATCCAACCACACCAAGAGTTTGTGATTCCTCGAAACCAATATGTACCAAACAGCAACAACACTTTCAAACCACAGCCAAATGATTCTTTGACGAGCAGAGATCTTTGTGTAGGAAGCATTGTATTCCTACCAGGAAGCGCCAGGGGCATTGAAAGGGTCAAGTGTATCCTACCTCACAGTCCATGCAAGAGGCCCGAATTAGATCATATGGGATACGAACACTTTGTCGTGATCCTTGATGTTTTTCGAAAACACGGCGGAGAAATAAAATGTTATATCTGTCAAGTAAGATTCCAAACAAACAAGCAAAATTATTACACTAACAATACAACAGATAACTTCCAAGGCAGGAGACGAGAAATACAAACATTTAGATAAACGAATCCTAATCAAAGGAGCCTCCGCACGACCAAACTTGTCACTAGAGAAAGTATATCTCGAGAAAGGATACATGGGTAAAAGATCTTATATTCGTGTAAGCCATGTTTTCGAGATTCCCTCTTCGCTATTGAAACCAACGAGAAGGAGCAATCAGGATCAGGTGTACTATAAGAGGCTCTTGAAAGAGAGCTATTATCGGTTAATGCAGGAATTCGATCTGAAGCCGGGTGTATTCGAAGATACGTGGTTTGTGATTCAGTTTGGAGCAACGATTCGCACTGAAGATTCCGAACTACCACGGAACGGTGTCAGCAGTGGGGAGCTGGGAACACGACTTCTGGATCGTGAATCGTCTGTATTTGCATCATCCAACGCGCCTAGTCAGGCCTTGATAGCGCTTTCCTCGTCAACTTCTCAGCCAATCTTCAACTTCTCGGATCTTCAATATTTTACAATTCTTTCGGCTCTTGATACACCATCTACGCACGCATCGATCTCCACATTGCCGGTCAGGGGATCAATAACCGAGCAGAACAGTGACGGAAACGAGAATTCTACATCGCCTTGCCAACTTGAAGCATCTGAGATGGCTCTGCTAGAATCACAGCCTGTACCAAACAACTCCTCAAACCCCACCAAATCACCACCGAGCCCCCTCACACACCCTCCCAACTACACCAGTTCCGCCATCCTCCCCCTCTCGATCTCAAAAAAGCCCTCACCCTCCTCTCAACCCCCCTCTCCCGCTTCCCCCACTACCTTCTCAAAGCCATCCTCTTCATCGGCACCCAACCCTGGGGAAAATTTTGTCTCTATTCTCTCGTTCTGCTTGCATGCTACTACACCGGAACACTTAAATTTGGATTCCTAGCTATCAAGGGGCTGGATGGATGGTTAGAGACTTTGGGGAATTGGTCTGTGCGGGGTAATTTTAATATTGCGAGGGTTTTGGGTGGGTTGCTGAAGGTTTGGGGAAGATTGGCAAGTCCTGTATTGTTGAGGGTGGTGAAGGTTGTGGGTGGTTTGTTGAAGGACGTGGGGTTGTGGGCTGTGAGGAAGATTGTGAGGCGGGGTTGAAGGTAGTCTCGGTTGTGAGGATTGATGGATCTTTAGGATAAAAATCTTGGTAGGGCTTCATGCTTATCCGGCTGGGCTGGGCAGTTCGACTGTAGAAATTTGCCTGATATGTGGTCCTTTATCTGGAGAGAGATTGAGACTCAATGTACTTACGTTTTATCTCCCAAATCATGACTACGAGTGTGCCTTTTCTTTCTATGTGAATGCATCATCGCATGTGACATAGAATTGCTAAAACTTGACTTTTAGTATCGCAAAATATCGCTTAGAAATTGCCAATAGGAGCTTGGCATATGATATAGCCTCAAGTTAAAAGAAAGTTCTTCTCTGCAGAATCCGAAAACGGAACATCACCCACAGAATTCAGCGCGGTGGATAAAATCATTTGGTAAAATCATTTGGAATAAAGATGACTCTCAACTACGAGTGAATGTCTAAAATATGGTAAATTGCACTAAAAAACTTGGGAATGGACAGCCAGAAGTCCTTGAAAGATTAAAATATGTTACCAATTATTTTCTATTTTTTGTATCGGCACCATCATGCTTGAAAGAGTGGAGATTTTCCTTTTCATAAAATGGTAGGGCTCCCTTTCGGGTAACTTTTGCGCAGATATCCCTCATCACATCTGACTTGGAAGAGACCACTACGATCTACCACGTGCATCTACGTGCTGTAAAAAAGTATGTGTTACAAGTTTTGTCTGAGTAGTAAGATCTTCATAAAAGTACATTTGTTATATTCAAAGCTTGAATACCTTCCAGTCTTTGATGCTCATATAGCCAAGGACGCCTCCAACTTCGCCTTGCTCTTGTTTACCATTCCGCCATCTTTTTGGTCCAGCAAAGTGGTTTATGAAACCCTCGGGTCCTGATACAAAGAGCAATTTTGAATTACTCTTTTCCGTGACTGATCCAGAACCTACCACCGAACTGGGCTGTATGGCTTGTGATATCATCTTCTGATTGATGAATGTTCCCTCTTCATCCACAACATAATTTACTTGAAGGTTTTCTGGGTATTTTTGCTGCATCCTTTGCAATCGCTGAACCATAGACCCTTTTGCTGTAGGTATGTCTGACTTCGAGCCAGATTTGTACGTTTCACCTCCAACGCAATCTTCTCTTCTCTTATTTGCCCAAACTATACAAATCCGTGGTAGCTTGCCATCTGAATTTCGCGCTTCCAGTAACGTATGAGCAACCTGCATAGCAGGAGCAATTCCCGTCCCACCAGCCAAGAAAACAACCTCATCCACATTCTCTGGCAAGTCAAATTCAACGTGAGGGCCTCTGAGCTCAATCTCGGAATTGGCTTGTAGCCTAAATAAATAGTTCGACATTTCCCCATTTGGTTCCTTTCGAATCACGAAACGAAGTTCACTATTTGTGTCGTTTTCATCGGGTGGTAATGGCGTATATGATCGCGCGATTTGCAATAATGGTTGCTTAAATTCTACGGACCAGAGACCTTTCTCCCAGTATGCGGCATAAGGATCTGATTTTGTGGATTTTTTCGGTTTGATGGTCAAAAGTTTACTTGTCGATGATACAGTTTCCTCTGAAACAATAGAAAACTTGGTAAACCTAGGAGAGTCAAATGGATTTGAATCCGTGGTTTTAAACTCATTTACAGCTCCAAGTATTAATGATCCCACGAAAACTATTTCAGTAATGAGTATTAAAGCTCTCAATACCTTTTGTTCCTTTACGCTTTTTACCCAATACAACACTTCTGTTCGTGGAATGGGAATTATGAGAGAATAAAAGACGCCAAAATATTGAGGTCCCTTGGGTTGCGGTGCTCTTCCAAACGTCATGAGAGGATTTTTTGGAGGTTCATGCCAAGGATAAAAATAGTGGCGTCGAAAAGTGTGAGAAGGGGAACATCGTGTAGTGTTTATTGGTGTTCTGTAGCCATACAAATGTTTTGGCCATAACCTTGCCGCAGTAGGAAGAAGAGTTTGCCGTCGCATTGAAAAGAATTGAGGAAATGGAGATGATTTGCATGACATCTACGAAGGTAGGTAAGGAAATATCGATGAGCAAAGACTTCGGATTATAGTACTTCCGGTGACAAGATTAACCAAAGGCGGTGAAGAAGAAATTATCACACCGTTCATGACTCAAAGCCAAAATCTCAACACTCATAAACAATACGATTTGGAGAGCAGTACGAAGAAGTCTAATCAATCACTTAATCTTAAAATACAAATGCCTATTATGGCAATGTATGCTACAATCGAATGTATGAGTTTTTTTGTTTTCCAACTTGACCGAATTCTATCATATGATTCATATCAACATTTGCGAAATACCCAAAACTCAGCGTCTTCCCTTTTCATTCTGTTTAGTCTGTTCCCTAAATATTTCCTCGTCTAGTTTCAGGGGCTTATGTTTCAGGTTATGTACTGTTCATTTCCTCTACGATGGAGATTTTGTCAAGTCTCTACTCGCATGATGTCAATGTACGTTTCATTCCACCTCATAACCTTAAGCAATTGTCGCTATATTCTGTTATTTCTCATTAAAACAAATGACTTAGCATATATATACATTAGAACATAATTGAAGCATCCAAATTTCAATGATCGCTTGTCTCAACGAAAATCAGGTATGCTTTTTCCTATACAATCACACATTGGCCTACCCCTTGGGGTGATTTTGCCTCCTATTCATCATCCTATATTTTTGACGACTTGGGTATCTTATTTTCTCGTCAAATCTCGGACTTGTGAACGTGTTGCATCCACCAACGGTGCATTAAAAAGTACGGTCCATATTCCAACTTTTAAATCTCTCGTCTCCGCTCTTCTTTCTATCTCCCCGCGGCCGTACTTCCGGATAACTCGTAAGATATATCGTTGCCATGCAATTCTCCTCCTCGTTGATATACTGTTGTATCTGGAGCTTCCGTGACATAAGGAGGAGTATTATAAGGTTCGTCGCTATTAGGCTTCTCATAATATTGCGTTGGTCCATCAAGCTCACCTACAAGAACAAGTTGCAATCCACGAGGGTGTCTTCTGAGTCTTCTGAATAATAGAAAACTTCCCGCTGCAATGAGTAGAACACCAAGAGCTACTCCGATAGCCACACCAGCTTTGGCACCAGTGGACATTCCTGTACTCGATGATGCTGATGACGAAGATGCTGAATCTGTTGCTGATGATACATTACTTGGAGACGAAGTTGCGGATACGACAGCGGCTGAGCCACTTCCAATTGGTGATGCCGTTGAGGAAGATGTAGAAGATGAAGCTGTACTTGATACCCAAGAAGGATCGTCCGAAGCTCTCTCTATGATTACACCATAGGCTGCCACCTTGTCAACCCCCGATATGACAGTTATCGTCGTGCTGGCGTATATGACGGGGTACGAGGTTGTGCTTGCCGCAGTAACAGTATCGAATAATACGCTATTGATCGATAACGTTTCATCTTCCGAAAAATAGGACGTACATCCATAAATTTGGTCTGATGCTCTATTTGCGAAACACGTATAGCCACTGTGTTTTTTGTTAGTCACTAACTATTATTCAAACCTGAGCTTCTCTCTTAGGGCAATACATACGTGGGACAACAAGTAGCTATGGTTTTTGTAGCACTCGAGTCTGTGGAATATGACGAGCAGGCGGCACTATAGCCTGTTGGACAGACAACCGGAGAATAATAATCTAGTGGGTGTTAGCAAGAGCTAATCACCAGCATGAATTCGTCTAGATGATCCAATAAAGATATAAAGAGATATTTCAATAGACCCAGAACGTTGAACACGAGATTTCAAAAAAGATGTTCAATGACGGCCAAGATGGCAGAGAATAAGAAGGTAAAATCGACGTTTAGTCTTTCCTTATTATATGCAATGCGTATAATAAGCGGGCACTGGTCCCCAACATTTGTTTTCACTTCCCTAAATCGAATATATCCATCTTTGTAGAATAAAAAGTTACCTGCTAGAGCCTCTAGAGGCCTAGCCGTCCTATATAGTCTTAGACTGAACGTGGACGTAAATGAAATCAATCAATCAATCAATCAGACGTTTAGTCTTACATGCTGTTTCACGATTGAATCCACTGGGCATACAAGTCGTACTCCCACTACCGATAGCACCATGCGCAAGCCAAGAATTTTTCAGATTTTGAGCCCAGAAAATTTGATTACAATCAGAGCGTGTGGGTGTATAAGTTGTAGTCAATGGGCCTACCAAATGACTTAATGCTGATGCAGTTGCGGCGCTCGTGATTGTCGACATCCTGCTCGAAGCTGTGATGGTTAATCGTACAGACGTACTTAGATTTGGAAGTTCGAAAAGTTGAAAAGCAATTGTTGGAAACCGTCCACGAAAATCACGGCGGTAGTATCGTTCGTTTTGTTAGTAATATATTCAGCTCTAATCCCTCCACTCTTGACCCTGCCTGAACGGATGTTACATATCCACTGCCTCCACTTTACGGGGCTTAGCGTGGGCGGGTCAACAGGGAGAACAATTGTATTGGCACTTTGGCACATGGAAGACCAGGGTTTCTCGTTACACTTTACCATTTTCTACACCTCTAACGACGTAGCGAAAAGAAAATGGTGCGTGCGGCTCTTTCCTGGTCAGTTCTGCAGGAGATGTATGTAAAATCCCAGGCACACCTGATGATCATTCAAGGAGATGCTGTCAATAATAATTAAATTGGTAAGGGAGTATATAAAATGAAATGTAGATGCAGGCCGGTATCCAAATTCTAGAGATCCAGATGAAAAGACCTACGTAGATGGAAGTCAGCACTAGCTGATTGTGAAAACCACATCGATCCTTCCCAGGGCCACAAAGCATGAGCGGTACTAAAATGAGACATAATTGTGTATCAGATATAGAAATTACAGGGATGATAAACTTGGAATCAGTGATGTAACGTATATCCGTCAAGTTTTCGATACCGTTGGTTTCGATAAACAGAGCCTTTGAGTGTTTCATAGATCTATTCATACTTTTATGGGGAAATTATTGGTTCATCGCATCTCCTTCACAAATCATGAATTGGGGCCTATGCAGTGTAGATGCTTTTGCGAGCATCAAATACACATTCCACCATCATGAAGAGGTTGCGCTGCGGCAAGGTTAGCAAAGCGATGTCCATCTCACCAGATTACACGAAGTATGCGGGTCCGAAAGAGGTAGAATCATGAATTTATTTGTAGTAGAAGTCTGAATGTAAGTGTGATAGCGAAGTGCATTAAAAAAGGTCTCGCATCATAATCATCAACCAAGCCATTCAATCAATGCCATTCGAGGAGGGTTGCTATTTTCTGATTTTGATATCAATTTTATCAACATTCGAAGAATTCTTAGAGTGTTGTTGTATATGTGAGGAGTAGTCTTGAGCCGCCAGTAACTACTCTGTGTCTGTGCTAGCTCGAGACTAATACTTTTAGTGAGATCTAACTATTATAGGCTAGCTTATCCGAGGGACAACGTATCATTCGACGACCAAATCGCCGGGCCCTCTCTGTATCATCTATTGCGGAATACAAGCTCAAAGCTGTCCTGTAGGCTCGACTCTTCCGCATGGCCATTGTGGTCTAGGATGATTACATCAAAACCCTTCTATGGAGAACATTCGTGTCAATTCGGCACTCAAAGGGTAGCGCTTGAAGGCAGGTGATGTTCTAGAATATTGATATCATCATGATGAGTAAGAAACGCCCGATTTTTTTCATTGCCACGCACCTTTCTGCTTTTGATCAAGAAGAATGACTTTGAAAATACTGTGATTCTTTCTTCCTTTGAGTAGAGATTGCTTCTGGAGTTTCTCACAATTTCTTTCGTACAATTCATTCCTTTTTTGGCTCTTTTCATCGCATACTATCCCAGCTTTTTTCATGTCAGATAATCGAATTCTACCAGAAAAAGTTCCTGCAAACGCTCAATCGCTTTTATGCTATGATCTAAATAAGTATAACGTCCCCGAGGTTCCACAAATCACCCTTGAAAACTATTTTTGGCAAGTGAGCCGCATATGAGCTGGAACTTACCCTGTATCAGCGAGCCAAGCAAAGTCCTTCCCTCATGTCTTAATTTCTCGCTATAGCCTTTTCCTCAGCTTCTGTGGAAAGCTCGCTTGGGCATCTTAGCGGATTAAAAAGATGTCATGGTAAACATCATCGCTAGATATCTTCATGATGGATTTGTGTGATTTTTCTCTTTCATTGCTAGGTGTAACTCCCAGGAAGTGTCCGCGTCAAACGCGATCTAAGTTTAGATACTTTCTTGCATATCTGCGTATAACGGAAAAAAAATCCCGCTCCTTGATATAAATCATTACCAGGGTATCTTATAGACTTAGAAAGCCGATCGATATAGACGAGTAGAGACCCATGTTTACCGACCCTTTTCAAACAAGGATCTGACCATCCACTCAACCGACGTCGAACTCTCTTGTGCAAAGAATTTATATTCCAAACCTGCACCACAATCTACACGTTGGATGAGTTGTAGGAGACTCACCAGTATGAGCTTCAATATATTAGTGAACATACTCATAAAGTCCATACGAACGAGCCGAACAACCCCATAGTCCATAACGCAGATTACCAGCATATGATAATATTCCAGTAATTCTCTTTGAGTCCCTTAAACATTATCCACCACATCTTCTTTATTCGCATCGATGCTCTGAATCATTTCGCTCTGTTCCAAAATACATTCTCTCTACTAGGCGAGGGGCAATTTCTAACGTTAGGTTCGTAGCCTAGAAAGTAATCTTCCGCTATCTTTATATGATAATGGCTCACGTAAAGCCGTGTCCTAATCTGGCTTTTCAACTTTTCTGTTGCATCCATATCTGAAAGATCCAAATTAAAGGCCCCATCCTGACAACCCTAACAGACATCTGATTAAGATCATATTATTAGCTCAGATTTCAGACCGGGCTATCATATTAGTACTAGCGACTAAGACCAATCTGAACTCACTTACTATATAAACCTTCAGGATATTATGTTGCGCGTCTGTAAGTAGCATACTGTAAGCCTCATCTTGAAAATTCTATAAATTGTATCCTGAGTCTCTTGATTCTCATAACTCTCACTTTTTCTTTTCCAACCAGCGGCCGCTGTTCTAGCTATCTTCGAAGACTCATTCATTAGCTATCCGCAATATCACCAATTTGGTAACGTAACGCTTTAAAAAGCTTCAAGATATTTCCTCTCTAGAAATTCCAACTTTCTTCTGTTGCATATTTATACCAGATGCTACTTGCAAATTCACCTAGCAGGAAAAAAATTCTTCCTCGTTATATAAAGTCATGATGTAAAATTAAACGAAGCTACCTAGTACTTCCAAGGTTTTCAATATAATTCTAAAGAGCGGAAGAGTCAACCCTAATTGATACCATCAAAGCCCCATATAATCAGAGCCCTTTGCTTCGTACACTACCTAGTATTCCAAACCAACCAATCGTACTTCCCCCTTCCCCATCCCCCATCCCTCAAAACAAAAACTCAACAACATCACACAGTGAATCCCCTCAAATGCCCCACAATATACAATATAGAATCTCCAACACAGCACCCCTCACAACAAAATCCACGGTGGGTGGCGAAGTGGCTAATACCTCTGCATCGAGGCGTCCTCGTTCGTATCGGAGATAATAGCTGTCGCAGAGAGTTCCAAGTGTATTTCTTTTGTATTTTTATTTTTTTGACTTTTTTTCGTGTTATTTTTTAATTGTGATTTGGGGTGGGGATGGGGAGGGTGGTGATGAGTGGAGGATGAGATAAATTCACTTTGGTCTTATGGAGAGCGTTTTGTGTGGTGTATACTTGGGGGTAGGTACTGTAGTATTGAAAAATTTATGAAAGAGGAAGAATGATAATCAAGAGTGACGGGATCGCTACTATATAATCAATAACCAAGCCCCAAAGCACAAGAACAAGCCCATCAAACTTATCCCCAGCACAGAAACATCCATTCTATCTTTCAGCCATAACCTTAAGCATCTCATCTTCAAGCATCCTCACGGTAGGTAGCTCGACGTTTCCGATCAGACATAATAATAAGCATATGAGTACTCCCTCATCTGATAGGCGATATCTTTATTTTACCAATAAAGAATAAAAAAGAGATAGAGATACAACATCTCAATTTCAAGAAAGAAAATCAATAGAAATCCTATTATTCTAAACTATATATCAAAGAACATGAACTCATACGAACTATTTCATCCCATTCATCCCATCCATCCACCCTCACAAAACCATCCAATCTACATATTAGGTAGGTAAACAACACAAACTCAATATCCCCTCCGCTCAAGATCTTCAATCTTCAATATTCATACATCATATCTAAAATTCTTTAAATTATATCATTCAAAGAAAAACTTTGAGTTAATTCTCTATTCAATTTCAAAGCAATATCTAAATATCCTTATGAAAACCTTTCAGAATAATTAAATGTGAATGTATAATATATACATATTAATTTGATCTAGCAAGTAACAAGATCAGGATGAAGCTGGCAGTATCTCCATCGCATATAATCTCACAAAATCAAGAAAAATCTTCACAATCATCTCAAGCGTCAATATTATAAATCATTAAGAATTTACTTCGCATTAACTTCATCTCCACTACTTATTATCTTCCAATGCAATCTAATGCAATATATGTCCCATCAACGCCCGAAAACTTCCATTACCATGTATCATTCAACTATGCATCCACCATGCAATTCATCATCATATTACATCTCATCTCTATCGATGAATGAACGAACTTTTGAACCATTCTAAACTCCCCCAAGAGATTGTTGAATCTTCGATGAACATATCAAGGATCTCTAATGTTGATCACTGTTTAAATCATCAAAGCTAAACCACCAGCGATACCTGCAAAACCAAGCGCAACAGCTTGTTTGCTAGCAGCACCGGTTGCAGAAGCGGAAGCGCTTCCTCCAGATTTGGTCGCAGTGACTGTGGAAGCTTTGCTAGTGAATGTGGTCGACAAAGCGGTGGTGGTTGCAGTGAAATTGCCAGAGACAGCAGTGACAGTACCGGTAGATGAAGCAGAAGCAGCAGAACTTCCATCGGTATTGGTAGTTGGGCCAGATTGCGGACCGACGGTTCCACCTTCAATAGTATCTGGTGCGATGGCTTTGGCGACCTTGGCGGCGGCGGCTTGGTAGTCATCGAGGGTTTGGGAGGCGTCGGGGTTGTTGCCTACGACGATTTGCATAGACATGCCCTTTTGGCAGTGCTCGGAAACGGAGCAGTAGAGCCACAAGGTACCGTTGACATGGGTGTCCATGATGAAGGTAGGAGCCTGGGAGGAGAAAAGTATGATGAGCATTGATTTGTGAGATAGGAAGAAGAATACGTACAGGATCAGAGGAAGATGGATCTGGGCCAGAGATAACACCAGAGAATATGGGAGCATGATCGGAAGGAACACATGGGCTATCGTAAGAGCTCTGTGCGACGCTGTGGGTGCCAAGGAATTGGAACTTGACACTATTACAAGATTAGTAAATTTGATAGAGAATGTGTGGACAGGACAACCTACGTATCACCCACTTGAATAGTCAAGGCATTGGGAACAAAAGTAAGTCCACTGCCACCAACGACGACGGATCTCTCAATTGCCATAGCAGAGGAGACAAGAGCGAAAAGGGCGATTAAAGATTTCTGCATTTTTGCGATTTGAGTTGATTGAATTATTGACGAGAAACTGAAGAAAGATATCGTTCTGATATTTCAAAGTTTGAAAAGAAACTAGTGATTGAAGTGGTAGTAGGAAAGAGAAGATAGATATCAAAGAAGTGGATGTTGTGAGAGAAAACCAGAATCTCCAATTGAGGAATCCCACAAACTTTATATAAAAGTTTTTCTTTCCCTCCACCACATGCAGCTTCTCAGAAGTCCCGGAATAATGGATTTCCGTACTCAGCCTTACCTACAAACAGTTGTTTCCCAAACAACCTTGGAAATTACATCTCCATTCACTCGCACCCAACCCGGTGGTGCGTGACTTCGCCCGCAAGTAAGGTTAATCCCTGTCTAATCTGAATGCTTAATTCCCCATACATTCAGGTACCGTGCCGCCGAGCCACTCAAATCACAAGCATTTTTAGATCGATTGGCTCGAGATTGTTTCCAAAGTTATTAATCCACCTAGGTAAGTAAGTTTTCGATAATGTTTTGATACTGCGCCTGGATTTTTCCGCAGTAAATATTGATTCTTCTGGATACCTACTCATATGCATGAACGACATACCTAAAGCCTGGATAACCTTACATCAGCCAGCAAAGAATTTCTATTTTTGAATCCAAAAGAAAAACTACCTAGTACCTACAAGTCACATGCACAGCCACGAAAAAGACGCCCTCCCACCTTCTACTTAGACGCACCTGGGCACCTGCAGGCACCTACCTACCTAGGTAGCTATGAATAAAACTACCAGGTAAATATTCCCATCTCCATCTCCATCTCCATCTCCATCTCCAACAACAGCACATCACATAACCAATCCATCATAACCACGCCCTCTCGCAATCCCCAGTACACCACCACACCGTGTCTATCACACCAACAAAAATACGACGTTGCACACACGAAATGTAAGACGAGGTTGGGCTTACGCCAATATCATCTTGACAAATGGGCTGGGAAGGATGGGCGGGGTACCTGCAGCTGTGCCGCAATCACGTGTTTGCTATCTACTTGATCGGATTCATGGGCATGTCACGCAAATGTCTCGGGTCGATGAATACTGGTGAGAAATCACTCTTCAAGGTTTTCGTTTTGATGTGGATGATTGGCTAGTGGCAATCGGGTGGTCATTGTGGTATGCTGGTAGGTAGGTCGGTGAACCTGGAAATGATCAAAAAGTCAAATGAAGCCTTTTTCCTCAATAATTTCCTACTTTCTTCCGCCTTCATCTTGTGATGTACTGATTTTCATTTCCGGTAGTTCCGACTTCTTATTTCATTTAACCTTTAAATTAAGAATTCCAAATAGTTCATGTATGCAGGTACCGTACCTGACACTTCTTGATTGATACAAAACGCCCAAAAGTATATTGTATCGCTCAAACGTCTATGTTCAGATGCTAAAAGTGTGGATGTACGAATTACCTATAATCTATTATCAAAAGGCTACGCGCAAGGTTGCACGAGCTCTCGATTGCGGAACGTTGTTCGGAAATCTAGTTGACGTACGAACCAGGCATTGTGTAAGGTCCATTCTTGCTCAGGATGTTCAAGTGCGATCTGAAGGATGAGATATGATGTCAGTAGGTGTCCTATCCATGTCCTTTTTCGCGCCTCTTTTCGCGCCTGGTTTCTCCATATATCCACGATCTACGAGAAGAAAAGTGGGTAAGAACTCACCTCAAACCTCCTCAAGAAACTCGGCACCAATTTGTAAATCTCCAAAAGACTGATATTCCTTCCAATACAAGACCTGGCGCCCATTCCAAACATTAACATCGCTCCATTCATCTCCTTAATTCTTTTCTCCTCTGATTCCCTATTCAATCCTTCTCCTATCAACCATCTTTCTGGCTTGAAAATCTCTACATCATCTCCGAAAATCTCTCTTCTCTGGTGAATGACCCAAGCACTACATCCTACCACGGTGCCACCCTTCACCCACTCCCCGGCAATCTCTATTCCTTGTTCTGGTACAACCCTCTCGAGTGGTAGGCCCGCTGCTGGATGTAAGCGGAAAGCTTCTTTGATACAAGCATCCAGATAGGGCAGTCCTTGACTTTCCGTCCAACTAACTAGACCCGTTTCTCCGTCCGCAAAATATCCTTCCCTGGATTTCTGATCAATTTCGCGCATTAGCTTTTGCATACAATGTTCATTCTTCAATAAATAATAGAACACGGCACTAAGAGAAATCGCCGTAGTTTCCGATCCTGCAAATGCCATGGAAACTGCCATCGTCATAACGAGTTGATCTGTCATGAATTCAGGTCTGTCGTGTTTTGCCTGTATGAATTTCGACAATAAATCTGGTTGTGATTTATTTGTTTTGATTTCTGCGTCAACGGTAGGTAATATTCCATTTCCGTCTGTTTTTGGATATCGTTCTCGCACACGCTGTGCTGCGAATTTGGCGACAGGAAAGGTGGCATCCACAAGACCATATTTGGCAGCGAGGAGGTAAAGAGGATTCTTGAGGAAGAGTTTATCGAGAATCGGCATTTGACCGATGGGTGCAACGTAGTCGAAGAGATTTCCTAGGTAAGAAATTATACCATCGACATCTCGGTTTTCTTCAAGAAAGCCATGACGCTTTGAGTACGTCATTTCGCCAATGACATCGAACGCGTAGAACTGCAACCATTTTGCAAAATCGCAGGAAGAATGGCTGGTGGGTGAAGTAAAGAGATCGGCAGTACGAGAGAGGAAGATTTCGGTCGTACGAGTGACAAGTGGCTCATATTGTACAAGAGATGACATGCTAAATGCAGCATTTACTGAACGTCGGAGTTGGGCATGGAAGGGCTCAGAGGTAGTGCTAAAGAGTGATGGGAGTGCATGGCCATTGGATACAGATTGCTGAACCGGGTAGAATGCGGACTGTGATGTGTTAGTGTACGATCTGAACTAGTGAATCAACACCCCTCAATACCTTTACAAAACCTTTGTTCAATCCATAGATAGTTTTCAAAGCTTTTGGGTCTGCGAAAGAAAGGGTATTGGGTCCAAGGCGGACAATATCTCCATGCTTTGCATGTAGTTTTTGATGGGTGACTTCCGGGCGACGCTTATACACATCGTAGAACCTCCACCAATCTGTGAAGGAAGCAAGAGTGGGCCCTGGATATTTGTTCATACCACGATTGAAACGATTTGTGGCGAGATAGATGGCAATTGCAACAATCAATATCGAAGGCCAATGCCGAATGGCCAGATCCAAAAGCGTATCCGTGATCATTTTGTTCGTAGTGTGGTATGGAGGCAGAGTACAGTAAGGTAAGCTCTGGCGATAAATTTCGACTTACAATCGAGCGTTCAATATAACAAAAGAGACCCTTGGTAGTGATATATCAAGTACGAAGTAGGAAGTCAATATTGTGGAGCACTTCAATGCTATTAAAGGTTTGGGTCCAACGTCGAAGGTATAAGACGAAGATTATGGAAGGAGGTAGCACTACTGTATGGAAGTCCACTATATTCGGTGCAGAGTATGATAATATGACAATATGAAAGGGAAAAAATGAAGCAAACCGTGGATCTTTAAGCATCCATTGTTCGAGGGAGGGAGCAACGTATGAGATGTTATTATAAGCGACGGTGAACAAGCATATGCCACGATATCATGCCGTGTTTCAATCGGCTTACCATTTTCATACTCCTAGGCAATTAAAGAAACGCAAAATTTTTGACTTTGTCAATGTATGTATCGCCAAAGTCGGACTAGTGAACTTTAAAGGCGTCGAGCCATGAGAGACGTCAACCTCAGATGCAATTGCCGAATATTCTTTCCGTTTCATGTGAGAACAAACAACAAGAGATAAATGAAATTCGTGGCTAGTGGTTCGAAATTGCTTGAAGTCATGATGTTGAGTGACTTCATTCACTAGCAATTGTGCCAATGCTCGGATAATTCTTTAACGGCCGCTGTCAGCTTAGTCATTTGAGTAGGACTCAACGCTATCGGCAAATAGCAACGGGAATGTTCTTCACTAGGGAATTTAGAAAGGAGATGAATACATCATTCATCGATGCACCGATTACCATGATTGCGAGACCGAAATAATCGTATGTGAAGCAATGAAAGAACCCCTCATTCGTACACGTGGATGTGCGGCATAAGCAGAGCGCCTCCCTCGTAAGTCAATATATTTGATCGTAAAGCACCCGCGAATCCTTTCAAAGATTGAGCTCGATGCTCGATGCGAACATGAGCTGCCGAAAATGCAATCGCATGTAAACGGGTAATCGATTCCGAACATGGGTCAAATTTATGCATGTATGGGGTGAGTGAGGGATTCTGGGTGAAGTGGAGGACGAAGTGGAGGAGAAAGTTGTGTGGGGAAGATTGGAAAAGTGCTGTGTCACGGGACTTTTTTCTACACAAAAGCAAGGTATCGGTAGTTGGAAGAAACACACTTGCCGAAATGTCCACCACAATTACGAGGCAGTGTGATTGTGGGCTTTTAGCTTTGGCCATTAAAATCACTTTCCCTTGTTTCGTACTTGTTTTCAGTACTGTTGGGAATCCTTCAAAGCATAATGATTGTAAATCGAGTGACAGATGATACACGGCAGTTATGAATTGTCGAGCTTGTGGACATAATCAATGCATTTCGCGATATCTCTGGTCGACATCATACCGAAGGAACTAGAGAGCACGGAAACCGCAATTTAATAACAGCGAGCTTGTTGGAATAGGTAGAATTTGACAGAAAAAATACAATCTTTCGTGTGGGAGTTAAGGACGATTTCAGAGGATGACTTCACGACTGGGAAACTGCAAAGGCGCCCAGGTATTGGCATATCATGGCAGAATCATTGGGACCATGTACAGACTAACTTCTGTATGTCGTTTTATGTTTCGAGCAATCGTCCAAATTCTGATTCGGAACTAAAACTTCTTGTTTATTTTGCCATGGAAGCAATGCAAGGAATGACAGCGTACTTGAGATGCTTGCCGGCGAATGGCATGTGTGTCTTTCAGAATCGCTGACAGCCCTCTTTGGCTACTTGAAACAGGCACTTGCCTGAGATATTAAACTTCGAACAATCAGTTGAAGTGCCAAAGTCATTGGCCAAAACGTCATTCGACGATTAGGGTTCAATGACCACCGGGGTATATGAACATCGTCAATCCCGGAACTGAGTTATTTGATAGAACATGCTGAAATGATACTCGGAGCGACATATCTCGGACTCCATGCATGTTCCGATGTCCCTCCTTATCTGTATGTATCCCAGATGTCAAATTGTTGTATAGGATTAAACTTTGTTCATCGAGTCTTCTGTAGTCTGCGAAGGCCTGGGAAACTGGGAATCTTCGGTATTCGAATTAAAGACTGTGCGGAATATGGTTTGAACTTTCATTTCTTAATTTAAAAGTGGCTAGAGAAAGGCCGAGCATCGGAGTACTTCACTGTTGATAGCAATAAGGAGTAGTTAAGGTTAAAGCTTGTCGTCGTGGATATGTGGAAGTTGTAATGACGGTCAGAATTTCAAATATGTAAAATTTAAGGTTTGCTTACTCTGTACTGAAGGGAACAGATTCGAGTCTGCAAAGTAGTATTGTAAACGCCAGAGAACCGACACATTCTGCTTGTCTTGTTACTTGAGAGAGGAGATGCTGAGTAGGTACTATGAGTGCTTTTTGCTTAGTCACCGACTTGACACTGGGTCCACATTTCAACAGAATTCAACATTTGATACGACCTCGGGAACATCAACTCACAACTGAAAACATGATATAGCACTCGAAGATGAGAGTCTGCACTTGCTTTTCTTTCTCACGAGAATCGGTCTTGCTGTTTTTTGTTAAATTTTACCACTGATGGTTTTCAACTTCACTTCGAGAGCTACCCCCATTTCTAAAAGATCACCAGCTGTGTAACAATTTGGAGCTCGATCAACATGGCAAAGTGAACCTGACCATGTTCTGGGCAATTCATGAATAAAACTCAGCGACACGAATGCAGCTGAAGACTTTTTACAAGACAAATTATGGACATCGGACCTCGAGGAACAAGCACACAACTTACGTCTTATGTTAAGTTCTTCCAAACCAAGAGGCAAAATTTGCTCTTTGCAGTATCACCTCTTCAAGCAATTTAAAACATTCTTTTCCGAACATCCACGACGATACCTCGTTTGATGGTACAATTTCGCGGTCCACTAAACCATTGCCAATTTATTTTCCATAGTACAAATGTTGGCAGATGTCCTTCAGTGATGCTCTGGGACATCTCAGGAAAGCGTCGTTTGGTTTTTCGCGAACATATTGGTCGTTTGTTCGACAAAAGTCGGACTTTCTCATAGTCCAAGACGTCTGGTATTGTTTGATTCCAGATGACAACAATTGGAACTACGTCTGTCAATTGATGTCTTTCTTTGATAGCATAGAAGATTCAATAGGTCTCGCCATGCTATCACTATGGCGAAATGAAATTTTCGTGTCGGTACGAATAGACTAGAGGCCATTCTAGTGATGGATTCTATACGCTTTGTGGCCCGATCTTGTTCATTTTTGCATTTCTTTCCATCAGCTTGAAAACCATGCAAGTCGCAATGGCTTCAGATCATCAGATGATATAAGTTCAAACGAGAAACCTGTGGTTATGGTTTTGGGGGTTCTCTCTCATCCACCTTGATATTGTCATTGCTTACGACTCTCGTTTTTATGTTTCTATGGTGATGGATATTTGCTGAGGAGTGGAGTTGTCGGTTCCGTGAAAGAGTACAATTGACACCCCAGATGGCGTAGTGAATCTTCTTGAGTGTGAATGGAACTGTGTCATAGTCTGGTCCACCGTTTTTAATGAAAAATTGACAGTTGGCCCCCAGAATCAAAGCTGACTGAGTCAAATAATGCTATGTTTTTCTTTCGAATCACTTTAGCGCAATTTAAAGACACATACAGACGACCGATTGGGATAGCAGGTTTGTAAAAAACTCTTCTGCTTTGGAATCCAACTTGTTTGACTCGTCTAAATTTAGTGTGAGCTGTTAATACTGTTACTGATGTCAAACATTTTTATTATCGGCTAATTGTTCCTTACACCTGCTTCAGTCGCCGCATATCGCGTCACCTCACCCCTTGAGCTGTTCTTAGGATTGCTGTTTTTGCGGCAGGCTTTGGTCTATTCAACGGTTTTGTTTTAAAAACCCTTGTAATGTTTCACATTGTATCTGTGGAATGACACTCTATTCGGGCTTATGAGGTTATTGAGAGATATTGCGAATTCGCCGGGTTTTTCTTTGATGGTATTTTTTCTGGGAGGGCCAAATTCAGGTCCGACTTCTGATCCACAGCTGGGGGCATATTTTAATTTGGTGTGCCGAAAATTCTACAAGAATAGTGATTCACATCTTTTTCTGGGGAGACATACAGTACTAGACAAAAAATAAGGGCTGTAGTAGAAAAACACCCCAAAAACAGCCATTACTCAAGCATTTTATTTTTATATATTTAGGAAGTCTTTTGACTTATTATAATGAAATTTTGTTGTAATGTAAAAAATTACATTAATTTTCATAAAAAAAAGATAAAGTTTTTTTCATGAATTATTTCGCCTTGATATAATCAATTAAAGTTGATCAAATTAAAGTTTTCGATTTGGTGACAATTTTACTAGTAAATCTATTGTATTTTTTAATTTTTCAATTTTTCCAATTTTAAATCAAAATATCAAGATCAAATAAATTTCTAAAAAAATTTATTCATTTTTAATTGAAATTCTATTAAATATTTATTATATTTGAAAGTTTAAAATATCAATATCTAATTTATAAAGAATTATAGTTCTTTGTCACGGGACCCCTTCTGGGAGTATTCAGAAGCTTTAGCGCTGAGCTAAACAGCCCAAAAGACTAGGAGGTAGAACCGGAAGTTCTACCTTACTCTCACATATATAGCGGGACAGGACAGGACAGAAATCAGGTGATCAGAATAAGCTAGTGTCAACCCCGTGACATTCTTTAAAAACACTGAAAAACAGCTATTTTTGGTGTATTTTTGAGCTACGGCCCTTATTTTTTGTGGGTCACTGTATTGTGGGGATGCAAGGAAGGAAGTTGGGTCGCTAATTGCTTTGCTAACATGGTTTTCGGAGTGGCAATGGGACAGTCAGCTTTACCATTCTAGACTTTACTGTCTGGGGCCAATGGTTTAATTCGTTCTTTTCTTCGCGACTGAATCGCATTCCGTTTTCTATCTAATCTGACAGCTTTCTTTTTCGTTACAGTATTTCAAGCCCATTTATGCTATCAAATAGACAATCGCACGAGAGTGAAACAGAAGATCCTTTTCAGCCCCTATAAAAATACAACAAGTGCCAATAATCTTCCCTTCCCTTGTAACCACGATTGTTGTTCAATAAAAAGCTTTATCCGGAGCTTCATGTTGTTTGTTGCCTATCACTTCTTCGATCAATACCCAAGCATCGAACTAAAAGCTGTTAATGATATCGAGGTAAGCTTTAGGGAGTCAAGTCCATTTTGTTTCGAATTTCACCACGTGACGCTTAAATTTGTATCGACCCATGCACGAGCTAGCATCAACGCCTCATTAGGCAAGTCGAGCAGTCTGATGATTTAGAAGTATACTCTTAGTATCTCATCGCCAGACTTCGGCGAAGCTCAAAGTTCGATTCAGAAAGCGTGTTGAGAGAGAGGTCATGTCGAGCATTTGACATGCATCTTATACGTGTATAGTAGACTTTGCATCGGTAACCACCCGCTCCCTCAAACCGTAAATATATGTTCCTATGAGTTGTGGTATGGTTTAGAAAATGGTATACTCTTTCCTTCGAAGAAATGCACCAAACAGAGACGACAAATGTCTGCCGTTAATGCTTTTCAGGCAACGTGGTCCTAATGGCTAAGCTCATCAATCATTTAAAGACAAGTCTCGCCATCAAAGCGTCGTGGATTGCAATGTGTTGTGGGGTTGAAGAATTTCAACAGGCAAGATGTAATGAAGCACGATGTGTCTAAGAGAGCCCATAATAGTGCCCGAATTTCATAATTTTATCTCGGCGAGTGGCTTCGGGCTAGATGATTGAAACTGTCGCAACCCAATTCCTAAAGGTTTGGCGGCAAAAGTTGACTCGCCTTGTACGAAATCGTACGCCTTTATTGCGCGGCGATACCACCCCTCTACAACTTCCGGGTCTTCGAATGTGTCAACTGCGTGTGTTGCCATGCTTCCGTGGTATAATGAACAGATGACTTTGTCGAGTGTCAGAAGTGTTGTATTGGCTACGCAGTCTACAACACCTGCAATCGGGTCCGAATACTGAACTGTAGCTTCAGCCTTATCCCATGGATTAGGAAAAATGTGAGGCTCTACTCCGCAACTCAGCCATGCCTTCATCTTAGAGCAAATTTCGAGAATGTTATCCATGAAAATAGGATAAGAGCCTGCCAACAGTCCACCGGAATTCTGAAGAAACGACGAAGCTTCCATAAGAATGCTGGGTATTTCGAATAGCTGATGGCAAAGCTCGATCCGCAATTCCAGAGATTTGAGCTCATTCGTGGTGATTGTGTTGCTAGGCCATGCAGATGTAGTTGCAAGGAGGGCCCGCCATTCTGGTTGGCGAAGATAGCAGTCTTCCTTGAATCTGGCAGATTGAATGACCTGTGAGTGAAATCTGTTGTCAACGACGCTCTCCACTTTTCTATCGATCAAGTATAATCATGGCGTACAATGTAACTCAGCTGAGATTCAAGCATTCCAAGATCAAATGGATCTTTGTATCGACCCACCCCCCGTGCTTGAATGAGCTGTGAAGTCCCACGAGCGAGATCAATCCATTTGGCTTTATCGACATTCACAACAAGCTGTTTGCGCATTAGTCACTCATATCAAATATATATGGGCAAAATATACTCACTTCGCACATCTGCAATAAAAGAGAAGCACACAATGTTTCCGATTGGAAACGGAGACGTTCTTCGACTAAACACTTTTGCAATGAAGATAAGGCTCGAACATAATTTCTGTAGATGGCTTTCGATTTGGTATATTCATTCGAAGACCTATCGCAATACAAACTGCAAACACAAGTTATGGCGTCATCGAGAGCGATGTTGTAGCCCAAATGACCAGGTATGTATTGAAAAAATGATCCAATCAGCCAAAGAGGTACTAGATGCTCTTTCACTTTGCATCCCAGACAGTACATCAATTTAGTAGCCAGAGGATTATTGTCATGAAATCGGGGAATTTCTGGAGAGACTACTTCAAAGTTCTCCAAAAGAAACAAGTCCGAACCAGATTCTATGGACCCAAAGATGATCTTCTCTGGTCTCATAACATCTGGGCTTGTAGTATTGGATTCGAAGATGTATCTCCGCCGAGAGTACAGTTTCCTTAGTCTAGGCGTTTCGTTCACGAATTTCCAACGGGGTGGGTATTCCGGACAGTCCCAACCACTACGAATGCATTCTGCGCAAGATGGGCGCTGCTCTCCACACTTTGTATCTCACGTGTTAGTTCAATTACAACTTAGATTAACACAACTCAAGTAGGAATACGTATCAACCTTCTTCTTCCTTATCCGACAGTTATCACACCTGTTACTTGTTGGTACACCGACCATGATAGTTTGCTGCGTATTTGTCGAAGTGATTTTGACACCAGTTTGTTTTCGGAATTAGGCAAAGAATGATTCAAGACTTCATCATTTCTCAAGTTCTGCGAACATCGACTTCATGGAGCCCTGAAGTCAACATAAATCCGCGGAGAGTCCGATATAAGTGGCTTCATACTGTGGCGCAACACACCTTAGATTGATTAGGTAGCCTTGCCTAATCAGGTTAGCGTAGTTTCAGCCTCAGTTTCTCACAGCAGTCATATCTTGCGCGTCAGCAAATCAGGGGTCTTATCTGTGGGTCGGAGATTTTTATCGCAAGGTACACGCCTACCCGTCGCCAAGAAATCCAATCCGCAAGATGACTATCTTCTCTCAGTATCGCAAGATGAAGCCTCTTCAGGAGAAATATTATCCTGACCTTCGAGACACGGAGTTAATAATGTAATTTGCGTGTTCGCTGCTCCTCCCATTTCGGGTTGAAATCTTGAAGAAGAACCACATGGCTGTCGGTGGAGGAAGTATTATATATAAGGAGTTGAATTTACCTCTCACGGATATCTTACAAATATTTATCATCATCAGATCTCAACTTGCATCTTTCAAAACTCTTAAAGAATCTCACAAAGCTTTCTCAACCATCCAAGAAAGTAAGAAATCATCATGCTAGCTCCCAGAATTGCCATAGCCGGTGCCGGACCTGGTGGTCTAACTTTAGCTCGTCTGCTCCAACACAACGGAATCAAGTGCACAATCTTCGAGCTAGACGCCAACCGAGATGCTCGCTCACAAGGTGGCATTATCGACCTCCACGCTGATATGGGTCAACGCGCTCTTCGCGAAGCCGGTCTCATGGAAGAATTTCAAAAACACTCTTTGCCAGATGCAGACTCCACGAAGCTGGTAAAGGCTGATGGTACTATTGCTTGGGACGAAAATAATAACGATGACGAGAGTGATTCTATCCGTCAAGCTAGAGATCGCCCAGAGATTGATCGTGCCAGACTTCGTGACATTCTTTTGGACTCCGTTGAGCCAGACTCCATTCGCTGGAACAGTAAGATTGTTAGTGTCAAGCCAAGCGAGAGTACTCCAGCCCAGTTTGATCTTCACTTTGCAGACCACGCTGAAGAAGGATTTGATCTTGTTATTGGGGCTGATGGCGCCTGGTCAAAGGTTCGACCTCTTGTCTCGGCGCAGTTGCCCGAATACTCTGGGATTAGCATGGTGGAATTGACCGCTCGCAACGTTTCAGAAAACAAGCAATGGCTATCTGATTATGTCGGTAAAGGTAGCTTCTTCATGTTTGATGAAGGCCGCGGTATCATCTGCCAACGGAATGGCTATGATGGCATTCGAGTCTACGCCGGGGTACGCAAGCCCGAGAATTGGATCAAGGATTGTGGTATCGACTGGGAAAATCCCACCGAAGCCCGCAAACGACTGACGGAACAGTACTTTGGAGATGTACATGGTGACTTGAAGAGACTTTTGTCCGAAGCAACTGATAGTCTTATCGTTCGATCATTGTATATGCTTCCGGTTGGTTTCAAATGGCAAAGTCGTTCTGGTGTCACACTTCTCGGAGATGCAGCTCATTTGATGACACCATTTGCGGGGGTTGGCGTCAATGTTGCTTTGAATGATGCCATGCTGCTTACGCATGCTCTTCTAAAGCAGAAAGATAATTTTGAGGTTGATTTAAAGGGTAGTTTGAAGCAGGCTATTGAGGAATATGAGGAGCAAATGTTCGAAATTGCTAAGAAGAACATGGAGAAGACGTATCAAGGTTTGGTACACCATTTCAGTGCGGGCGGCATTGACCATAGGGTGGAATATCTACAGAAGATGGCAAAAAATTTTGAAGAAGCAAAGAAAAATGGAGGCATAGTTTGATATCGCTGCTTGTAGTAGTAATTTAATGATCGGAATTGAGCTAGGAGTCGAAAGTTTATGGATTGAAGGAATGGTGTCATGGTAGACTTGTTATTTGGATTTAATTTGAACCTTTTTATAGAATGGATTTTTCAACACAAAACTTTTATCAATGAATTCAAGCCGAACACTGTCGTGGTGCAATGCAACTGGCCGAAGTCAATGTTGAGCCTCGTGTAGACTATCAGATAAATGCTAACCTTACATTGGATGATTGACCATGGTGATACTACTGAATTCGATCTGGATACTAATAAGAGATTGTAAGCTGAATATTGAAAATGATAGACAGACTCAACGTTAATAACGTAGTAAAGGTCCAGGGTCTTTACAAAGTACATCAGATACACATGGTTTCAACCCTCAAGATATGTTGGAAATTGAGCAGTCTCAGCTTAAGTAACAAAGTGATAGGAGATAAATTTACAATTGAATTGGCAACCAAGCAACTGTACCTGAACAGCTCTCGAATGTGTCTACGATCAAAGCCATCACATCCTGGACTGTTACATTCAAACATCTGGTTAGAAAACATCTGGGTAGGTCAAATTGCATGTACTCATCCAGCAGTGGCCTTCGGAGACCTTATCGGAGATAGCCAATTCAAAATACTGACGTCGCGATCCTGCGGAGTAGTGGTCCCAAATCCCGCATTACTAATCACTTTACAACCTCACGTGCTCACATACAGTAACCCCGCGAGCCCCGCTTGATAGGATCCATAGCTTTGTTCTCGACTCCTCTTACAAAACAAGCAACATGACAAGAATTACGGCTTATGGAATGTCATCAAGAATGACGACTTACGCTTACTGCTCCTCATATGTTGAGCTTACTTTTCGTCCTATTCCACCTTGATTAACTTTGACAACTTCATTAGAACGAAAGCTATATAGGCACAACAGTTACAAGACATTTCGAATAAATCGCAATGGCGTTCCAGATAGCCACAGAATGGCATGCTGGAGAGGAGGAAATGCACAAACGTCTACGAGTACCTCAGAACGAAAATCCAACCTCACCATACCTTTCACCATTCGCTGCGAACCTATTGTCCCAATCACCATTGCTCGCCCTCGGCACACTCGATTCTTCCAGCAGACCATGGACTACATTATGGGGCGGAGAGGCTGGTTTTGCCTGGCCGGTCGCGCAGTCTGTCATTGCTGTGAAAGCTACAATCGACCTCCAATTTGATCCAGTTTCTGAAATCTTGCTGGGGAAGAATGCAGATGGACAAGTCAAACGAGAAGAATTACCGGGGAGAATGGTCGGTGGTCTTGCGATCGATCTCGAATCCAGGAGACGAGTCAAACTATATGGTCGGATGGCTGCAGGCGCATTGAAAGAGACTACTGGAAATTCACTGGCGGAAGTCTCGTTAGTCGTCAAAATAGAGCAAAGTCTAGGTGAGCTTCTCATTGACCTAGCAGCTATTGTTGTATACTAACGCAGTTGCAGGTAATTGTCCCAAGTACCTGAACAAAAAGCACATCACTCCTCGATTGCCGAAGCCTACACTGGTTTCCACGACATTACCTCTTCCTATAGAAGCAGTGAATTTGATAACACGATCTGACCTGTTCTTCATTTCTTCCTCGAATCATGATTCTGATATGGATACGAATCACAGAGGTGGACCACCGGGCTTTGTCCGAATCCTGGCTAACGATACTAACGGACTAATAATTGTTTATCCAGAGTATTCTGGTAATCGCCTTTATCAAACACTCGGAAATCTCACGACTACACCTCAGGCAGGACTGGTGTTCCCAGATTTCAACACTGGCGATGTCGTGTATCTGACTGGGAGAACCGAAATACTTGCTGGGGAGAAGGCTACTAACTTAATTGCACATACCAATCTTGCAGTTAAAATATACGTGGAAGATATTCGATATGTTACTGATGGATTGAGTTTTCGAGGCGAAGAGGGTGAACGTTCACCCTATAACCCATCCGTCCGGTTTCTAGCTTCCGAAGCCGCTGTCGGGATCAAAGATGCGGGCAGTAAGATGCATGCTAAACTCATTGAGCGAAAAATCTTGTCACCAACTGTAGCAAGGTTTCGATTCAAAATTTCGAGTGAAGATAAAATCAACCAATGGAAACCTGGCCAATATGTCGCCTTGGATTTCAAAGATGAACTTGATATTGGCTATAGCCACATGCGTGATGATGATCCAAAAAGTTTGAACGACGATTACATACGAACTTTTACAGTTTCTTCGTCAAAAGATCCCACAAATACATACGATACATTCGAGATTACAATTCGCAAGGTTGGGATTGTCACTGATTTCCTCTTTCGCCATAACATTAAATCAGAGCTGGAAGTACCCCTCAATGGGTTTGGGGGAGAATTCTTCATCGACCAAGGCTCTGAAGGAAAAGTTTCTTTTGTTGCTGGCGGTGTTGGGATTACGCCACTCATTGCTCAAGTTCCCGAATTGGATTTATCACGATTGCAACTTTATTGGACTGTTCGTTTAGTTGACCTGGGACTGGTTTTGGATACCTTCGAAAGGTATCCCAATCTTAGTTCTCATGCAACATTGTTTATTACGGGTGAAATGGGAGGCTGTGATGGTATGAATGAATCAACAGCCGTCAGAAAATTACGGGAATCTGGCGCTATGTTGAAAGAAAGAAGAATCGAAAAGTGTGATGTTTCCGAAGATTCTGCTAATCGATGGTACCTATGTACAGGGACTACCCTGCGTAACACCTTGGTTGAGTGGCTTCAGGGCAAAAACCTCAACTACGAAGACTTTAATTACTAATAAGAGTGTGATATTAGTCTATTCGATTAAACAATTGTTTGCAAATGAATATGCCTTTCTTTGTGTTCCTCTTGGTTCTTTGTCTGTGTGATGACCTGTTACTAAAACGTACCAGTTAAATTCATAAGTCTGCATAGCTCGCTACATTCCTTTGTATTTTGGAGTAGCTTTATTTAACCGGTCAAGAAGCTCAAACATTCAACTTCAAATAAACTTCATTACTGTTTCATGACCCGAACCAACACAATGGCAGCCAACAACGTCCATTCTACTCCCATTCAACCCAAATACGTCCTCCGCAACCCTTTGGAAGTTGGCCACAATGCCAAGAGTATTCAACTAATCAGGATTAAAGACAATGAGTCCTTTCTCGGGTTTCCTATCCCCGACAAGAAGGTCTCATCCGACAAAAATCCAGAATGGAAAATAAGTCTTGCCTCCGCCATCCTCCCTACAGCCGGTGTCCCGCTGTCCCGTATTCTGAACCACCCGAACATTGTTGGCCTCGTTGATATAATTCATACAGACTCCCTCGCAGGCTCTACAAAACGTGCTGGTATAGCTGCCAACATAGCGGTCTACGAAGACATGAATCAAGGCTCACTTGACCTCATTCTTCCAGACCCAGAAAACTACCCCAAGTTTACTGATATGGCAGCTTGGCGCGCCCATGCTACTCCAAATCCCAATCGCTTTTCCTTGCCTGAAAGTTTGTGCTGGCATGTTTTATCCAATATTAATAAGGCGCTCTTGTGGTTGCATACGGGCGTGAAGCAGACGGATACAAAAGACAATTGGCAAAAACATGATGATGATTGGCAACCTATTCTTATAAGAGATGTTAGTCCAAAACAGATTTGGTTTAAGAGAACAGGTGGTGGAGCAACGTATGGGCAGTGTAAATTGGGCGGGTTTGGGAAGGCGGTTGTGACGGGGTTTCCTGGTGGGAACGTGGCAAAGAGTGAGAAGAAAGAGGGATTGAGTTGGTTTTTTCAACCTCCTGTAGGTCTTGACTTTGAAGATTTGATAAAACTATCTTTGCTAATAACGATACAGGAACAATTAGCCGGTACCGAAACCTGGGGGCCAGCCTCGGAGATTTGGTCGCTAGGCGCAACGGTCTTCACGATGATGACGGGGATTCCCCCACCCCAACAATTCGAATATCAATGGGCAATGTCAAGGATGAGCGATAAACCATTTACGAGTGGACTGAAAAACTTGGTGGCGAGCATGCTGAAGACGAGAAGTAACGATAGACCTACGACGGCTCAGTTGGTGGGGAGAATTGAACAGGGTTGGGAGGAATGGAGGGCGACGGATGATGCGATTGGGTATGTGGATTGGAAGGATAGGAGTAGAGGGCGGGAAGTCAGTTTGAAGGGGGAAGTGGAGGAGAAGGCGAGGTTGGGATGGGGGATTATTGATGCTGGAGGGATTTAGGTGATGCTTTCTTTATGGGGTTAATAATTAGGGGGTGGAGTTTTGGGTTTGGGATTTTGTGTCTTGTCTGTTGAATAATTCTTGCTGTTTAATTTTCTGATAGTGCTTCCTAATCTATGCATATCTCTCTTGAAATATAGAATGCAATATAATTTTTGTTCATGCATATACCTTCTTCCTCTCTTAAAAATATATACTGAATTCCTTAATAATATCAGGAACTATATAAGTCCCTTTCTTAACATCATATCCGCGCCCAAAATGCACTGTCTATTGAGATGATGGAGTTCCAAGTCCCTGGTCAATACTATAGTCTTGCATCAAACTTGCAAGATAATCGGGGTATCACCTTTTAAATTCTCGCAATTAAGTCCTCCACTTTTAAGATAGCCAATTGGAGAAGTTTTGCGCTCCTACAGTGGCCAGTCACAGATGAAAACCTTCAGATAACATTATCTCATCATTTGTACGGCTTGCAATATGGTAAATGAGGATCGGGGGAATAAACGTCCTTAAACCATACAAAACCTGATCAAGGGAAGGAGAGGAGAATTAGAGCAAAGAAACTGGATGGTAGGTTCAATATGTGAAGATGAAGAGGAATATGATTTTGCAATCATTTATAGCGATGAATCCAGTGGGACTTCGATTGCAAAAGAAATTTAAGAGCGGAGTGTTATTGAGATAGAAATTTATTGTCATGATTACTTGATCATTGGCTTCTACATCTATGGAACATGAAGTCACTAAAATCTTCGATCGCGCATCTCTAACATAAGTGCGTACAGAATGTATTCACTGTTTTTAAACAATTGTGATGGCTCCTTCCTTAGTTGAGATATTCTTACGGCATGTCACTAGCCTCTTCGCTTGTCTTGCCATATTCAATTTTACAATGTAAGCTAGTGATTTATCCGTATACTGTAACCTATAAAGCTAGCTCAACTGATCTCTCAGTAAATATACACGCAACTCAACCCGATCTCAACCATAAAATTCAACTTCTCATAATCGATATCAAACACAAATTTTCCATTGTGTATCCAGTAATTACAGATACACTATCAATATGGACTACACACTTTTCAACAACCATCACCTTGAAGAAATTGATGATGAGTCTGCAAATTTGATCATCCAGCTTCAGCTCGAAGATATTGAGAACATATCTCCCAAAAGTAACGATCGCCCCAATGACTTATGTGGCATCTCACTCGCACTCGAACTTCAAAGAACAGAACTGGAAAACATGGCTTCAGTTTTGTCAAATCGTCGTGTGGCGAGAAATATGGCATCGGACGTTCAAGCTCATGGGAATACCTTAACTCGAATGGCATCACGCGTTTTGTATTTTGCCAAAGATTATACGATGACTCTATTACAATCATATCCAGGCTCTCGCCCAACCAACACTACACCAGAACCCGAAACCCCGTCTTTACCCCAGGCACCAACCAATGACGAATCTACCTGCGTTAGCTGCCAGAATATAATAAACTCATCGGATGCAGCCAAAGTTCCCGGTTCATGCGGTCACGAATATTGTCGTGCTTGTCTTGAGACCTTGTTTCACTTGTCAATGAGAGATGAATCATTCTTTCCGCCCCGCTGTTGCAACGAGTCCATTGCTGTCGCCAGTGTACATTCTTTTCTTAAAGCTGATACCATAAGCGCTTTTGCAAAGAAGGCGCTCGAGTTTGAGACACCGAACAGAATCTACTGCAGTTCCAAGTCTTGCTCAGCTTTCATTCATCCGACCAGGATTCAGAGTGAAATAGCATCTTGCGATGAATGCGGCACACAAACTCATACCTTGTGCAAACTAGGAGTACACACCGGAGATTGTCCACACGATACGGTCTTGATGGGGGTTTTGGATCTAGCAAGAAAAGAAGGTTGGCAGAGATGTTACTCATGCTGGAGTTTGGTGGAGCTTGAATTCGGATGCAATCATATGAAGTAAGTTTCCTTTTTGCACCTATTATCAGAATTACAAAAACACACTGATACTCAGATATGTAGATGTCGATGCAGAGCCGAGTTCTGTTACCTCTGTGGCTCGATGTGGAAAAGCTGCAGTTGCCCGCAGTTGCAAGAGGACCGCTTGGTAGCTCGTTCAATTGAAACTGACAATTACAGAATTGAACATCGCCTGCTTGAACGTCCTCATCACGCCGTTGGACACGGAGCTCAATTTGTGGTAGCTGTACCAGCTCGTCTAAATAATCCTGCACGTGAGCAAATAAGATGGTACACATGTTAGACTTGTCGATAGTTTCGGGGACAACTCATTATTGCCTGTCGGGAGGGAGGGGAGGGGGTTTCAAGCTTGTACTGCCTTAGCTGTATTCAAAAGCTGCTATTACTGATGTGTCGGTCTGTATTCCTCATTAAAAGGCATGATAGTACATAACATTTTCAAATTTTCAAATGTAATTGAACGGAGGAATTGAAGCATCATTATCATAAGTATTAAACCTATATCGCTCCCCTTTAGCTGTCAGGAGCTCCCCAAGTCAGGACTGCTTTGACAGCCTTCCCACTCAAAACATCTGCTTTCGCCTTCTCCATATCTTCTGCGTCGTACCTCGTGATTAAGTCCGTGAACGGAAACATTCCGTCCTTCCAGCCCTGGATAAGTTTTGGAAGAAATTCAGGCGGGTATGAATTTCCCATACAGCAGCCTACAAATTTTCGCCCAGTGTTGACCGCATTAAACATGTTTATCGACACGGCGGCATCAAGCTATATAGTCAATCAGACTTGTGGGCAAGGATTGGATGGGATTCGGCGACACATACCTCTCCAACGCCTACACTGCATACTGTTCCCAATTTCGCTGTTGCCTCCAATAAGTCTGCAACAACTTCTGGTTTACCAGTAGTGTCAATCGAAGCATCAATCCCCTCGAAGTTTGTTATTCGTTTCAGTGTACTTTGCAGCCCTTTTTCTTTGGTTGGCTTGATGACATGTGTTGCTCCGTATTTCTTGGCCAATTTTAACCTTTCGTCCAGCATATCAACTGCGATGATCTGTCTGGGCTTTTTTTCTAGAAGATTGAGCGCCATAATAGCTGCTAAGCCAACGGCGCCTGCTCCAACAACGCACACGATATCTTCCGAGGATGGTTTGAGAACGTTGAGCATTGCTACATTTTCTTTTTAGTACTATCTTTTCTGGGAGAAAGGTTGGCTCAATTAGAGAAACTTACCACCAGCACCTGCCATGATACCACAACCTAGTGGTGCGAGAGACGAAAGATCCAAATCACTTCCAGGCCCTCCAACTCTAACACAACATCTGGCATTCGCCACCGCAAAGTTAGAGAAGCCTGTTGAAGATTAACTTGGTTTGCTAGACTAAGGCAACTCAGATGATGACTTACAACTCTGGCCGAAAAAGTGACTTGTGATTTCCGTCCCGCCTCCTTCCTCTTCAGATGGGATTTCATAAGCTTTGCTCCCATCCTCGCCTCTACCTATTCCGAAATTATCCAGCTCCCAGTCACCGCAAAAGCTCGTCTGCTTTCTCATACAATACTTGCATTCTCCACAACTTGTGTAACTGAGAATGACATAATCTCCAACTTCTACATTGGTGACTTTTAATCCCACCTTGGAGATTATTCCAGCTCCTAGGATACACGTCAGTCTATCATGTGATACCAGACGTGCGTTTATGTATTACTGACCTTCATGCCCCAAAATAGCTGGAAACATCCCATCAATATCATGTTGACTAAAATTGATATCGGTATGACAAATTCCAGTGGCTACAATTTGGACCAGTACCTCGGTATCGCGAATGTCGTCGTTAACTTCCACATCGCGATAAATAAACTCACCGCCGGGACTATTGACGACAAGTGCCTTCGTTCTCATGGTGGCTTATGTCTGTACACAGCGGGGGGTAGTGGATTTGACAGAGGATTTGTGTACCAAGGGGCAGAAAAGAGCAGGATATCACTTATCAGTTCGTTTGGCGATTTTTTATGATGTTCTGTCCATCTTCTGCAGCTGGCCACGAAGGGTGTGGTGGAATGGCCCACATTTGGTATTAACTTCATTAGGGGTCGTGGTACTCCACACGCCTGAAAAGCAGCGTGATACTCTGTGTTCCACTCTACTTGTCCCGCACCGGTTGCCGACGCCATTCATCTTTAGAGGGTCCACCCACAGACTATGATACCCTGAGAATCTACCACGAATTCTTCGATTCTCAGTAATCGACTTCTTTATCTTCATCGAGAATTCCTCGAGCACCTGTACTTTGTGTGTTCCTGTTTTATTTGAACCAGTCTCTTACATCCAAATTTCACCGTTTTTCAACCCTAAGATCTGGTGGATTGAATCTATATCGGTCTTGATTAAACGATATGTGTGCTCGAAAGTATCCAAATTTAAGCTATCAGGAGTCAAACGTACATAATTATTTACTTCAAAAGACCTTGCTAGTATTTTGCATCGGAACGATCTCAAGGAAAGAATTGGGCGCGGAGAGATAGACGTTCGGCATGTCTTGAATTTTTATACAATTTCATATTTAGCAAGCAGTGTGTAAGATAGCAACCAAATTGGCTATTTGACTTACATCTATGGCTGAAAGATGGTACACTAGAGATATAACTAGCTTTAAATTTCTTTAGGGATGCATAACGGTAAGGAAGCACAAGCAGGATCATTGTTGAGTGAAAGATTTGTTGGTTGGACAACTGATGTGGGAGCCGGTCTCATTACACAACCCACAAAATGTGTCATATAGTTGCCGGGAGAAACTGTATACTTCATATCCTCATTCTATGTAAAAGCAGTATACCTCCAATTTCACCATATTCTCTTCGCCGCCATCTCATATCTACTAATTTTAGAAAAATCATGTACGGCTCCCACCTTCTCCTTATCTCTCGCCAGTCTTTCCTTTTCTCTCAACTTCTTCAATGTCTCCGGGTCATCATCATAAATCCATCGTTTCTTATCATCATCGACTTCTACCATTCCCCAGCCACCTACTCTCTTTCCGCCAGTCTCGTAGCTTCGATGTTCACGCCTTTTCATGGTAGAATAACGATTACGTGCGAATTTTAGTAAGAGCATTCCAAGAACGAGTTTGCAGGCGAGGAGAACAAAGAATGCACCGAGAAAGAAGACGATCATGGTAAGAGATGCAATTACATCGTCAGTGCTAGGTAGGTACCATGGTGTAATCGAGTCTGGGTTTGGTAACCCGAATGTTGATCGACCGAGCGCTTTGCGGACGATGGTATCGAAATGTTCGAGAGCTGCTGTCGTTGCTGGAGATGATTCGACTGATAAGGAGGTCGCTGTTGATGGAAGTGGTGGAGGAAGATGAGTCGCGAGAAACATGTGATATGTTTGGAATGCAGCCCGGATAAAAAGACATGATAGCGGTATAACTGGAAGACCAAGACGTTTGACAAGGTTTTGGTTGACAAAGGCCTAGAACAGTTAGCCAAAATAAAAAAATTGAGATTAAAGACCTACATTTGTATAATAATCCTTGGCCAGAACATCGAGGAATCGTTGATAGATTGCTGGTTTGACTCCATTGAACTTGCTGATATATGCATGTTTGATCCAATCTACCAACATCTCACTGCCTATCACTATGAAAAATGGTGAAAGAACTTCGCCTGACCATACTGGAAGAATAGTAAAGCTGTTTGGAAGCATTGAGCTTGTACGTAAAGGACTAGTTGCTTCTGATGCCGATGATGCCATGCTGCTGAAACCACCCATTTCAACAATATTTCGCAATGCGATAATCATTAGCATAAGCCATAACTGGAATCTTTCCACAACATCGGCACATGTGAGCTGGAAGAGGTTGTCCTTCTCAAACTTCTTGAACACAGTCCCTTTAACTTCCACAAATTGATTCGATAATAATAGAGTGAAGAGAGCGTTGGAGTACGAATTTACAGCAACATTCAAGGTGACGACCTGGGTGAACAATGCTGCTGCATGAGCAACATTGTATATGAGAGCAAGTATGAACATGCCAAGCGGTCGCAATACCTTACTCCTTCCATCACTATTTCTTTCTAGCGTTTCATCGGAAAATAAGCATTCAAAAATGTCTTGGCCTAGCGCTGCGGCAAGGCGATCAAAGACCTATTGAAAAATAAGCTACCAAGCTTTCCAGACTGGACGGACTGACCTACCTCTAAAAGATTATATATAACATACAGTCTAATTGCTGACTGCGCTCTAATACTATGATACATCCTGCTTGCGTCTAACTTCATTAAGAAGAATGAACTGAAAATTATTACAGCACCTTGCAAAAGATCTGCTTTGTTGTATGAAGATAATGAAGACGGTTGAGATTTCATGCGTCGATGTCTACGGGCCCAACCTGGTCTTGGTCTACGCTCACCGTTTAATCTTGGAGTAGTCTCAGTAGTACCAGTACGCCTGAAGGTTTCAGAGGGCCTTCCAGCTTGAGACTGAAATGAGGTTGTTGTTGACACCGAAGGTCTACTAGGACGTGATATACTCCTCGTGGGCGAAAGAGAATCGGCACTGCGACGTTCATTTCGTCGATGCCACATCCGGCTTGTACCATGATAAATAAAACCACTAATAAAGCGACATTCCTTGGCTAGAACATGACCCCACCATGAAATAAGAATGCCTAAAGCTTTGAAAAATCGCAGAGGTAGAATGGTAAAGGTATAGAGCCAGGCGTCAAGACATGCGAAGGATCCAAAATAGAGGACCTGTTCAAGTTGTGGCGGTAATAACAAAAAATTCAATAAACGCTCAAATTTAACTTTTGATGATTCATAAGGAAATTCTGTCGAAGCTGAACGATATATATACAAAGGCGATGGCCTTGTAGCGGAAAGCTCGAGCTGTAGATAAGTAGGAATTGACATCGGAGGCAGAGGAATCGATTGAGGTATTGGCGATGGTGGTGGAATATCTGGCAATTGTGAGGATTTGCTCGCTCCATTAGTCACAATGGGGGTCGTCAACCCTTCAAGGTTGAGGCTTAATGATTCAGGGCCGCGGCCAATATAAAATGGTTTTTTCTTTGGTGATGTCGGAACGGCATTTGGCTTGGAGTATGATGGCCATTGAGTTGGTGGCGGCTGAGCACTAAAGGCCCGGGAAGAGGGTAAAATCGTGGGCCTTCTGTTACTAGCATTGGCCTGGATTACCTCTGGATAGCCTCGCTCCTCACCATTAATGTCTGCGGAGAATCTTACAGATTCCGGTGTAAGAATGTTACGACGATCTGTCGATTCAGACGGTCCGTCGTCAAGCTCCATGCGAGATACGTCAGAACCGGATCTTTTACGCCTCTGTTCTTCGGCATTGCCTTGGCTTGTATCGGGAGTCAATAACTTGCTGGGCGAAACCATTGGTAATGATTCAGGAGCCGACGCTAATTCCGTCATCTCAGCAGCTGATAGTTTAAGAACCTTTTCTTCCCCAGAACCCTTCAAGGACAATTTCCGGTGATTCTCAACTTTTTCCTCTGCGATGTCATCCAATTGATCAGAAGGCAGTGGAAACTTCGATATGGGAGGCGGTGAAGTCAATTCACCTGTTCCATTGTGCTCGGCAAAAGAGGGAAAGTTCCCCAATTTATGGAAAGATCCAGAACTGTTATTGCCAGTTTGCACAAGTGGGGTTTCATCTGCATTCCCAGGCCGCGACTCATTCACAGGCACCTGAGATGGTGATGAACACAGTGGAGGCGGACTTGGTGAAGGCGTTCGTAGTTGTTTCATATCCTTGATCGCCGGTACAGATCTGGGGAGCTCGTCTGCGGATTGGGCGGTAAGCTGCTTGAGATTATCTTGTTCAGGTGATCTCATAAGTTGCTCCTCGTTTCCCGCCGTCCGAGATCCCGCCCCTTGAGAACATGTTACATTCTCTACCGCCATCGAGTTTTATCGAGATTATTTGGATAGATCATTAGTAACGAGGCTCCGGCAATTTCGTTCACACGTATCAAAATTGGGTGGTGATGTGGAGTGATTTGAGATAAAGGTGTTCGCTAATCAAAGGCTACGGTAACCTCAATCATATCGTATCCCGTGCGAGTATCGATCGATAGTCATATCTCGTTCTTACGAGATGTCTTCCGAATCTCTTCAATGTAAGGAACCATATATTTGAGTTCTGAGTTATTCTGCAACGAATTATCTCTAGCCACATGAGCTGTTTTGAAGAAAGGGTATACTCATCACGTGTCTATAGCGCTATGCTCGTTCTGTACTAGCGGGAGCTCAGGCTCTCGTCCCTTAATATCAAGGCATACAAGCTTCGTTTGACGAAAACGGGACACTTTGATTCCTTGTTCCTTATTTCCTATTCATTGTATTCTATTATCTAGTAAAATTGCAGCTTATTCTGTACACTATGTATTCTTTTACGAAATACACTTCTGTCCCTAAATCCTTCTCAGATTATGTTCATAATCTAGACGACGAACGATATCAGATTTTACCAATTTATATAAATCTGTTCTCCTCAAGATTGTAGCTGATATATCGATTTGATATAACTATGAGCGGCTTGGATCTCTATGAGGTGCCCGATTCTGAGCCTATTGAGGCTAGTGGGAATAAATTGGGAATCCGAAGTATTTTGTTTTGGAGTGCAGTAGTAGTAGTAGTCTACGCGGCCTGGACCATTGCTTCCCCGTTCTGGGATCAGATTTCCAATCGTCTATCCTCAAGGGTTACCGAAATTCGCAGAAATTCGGCAAATATAATTCTTAGAACCACAGACGTTTTTACAGGTAATTCTGAAATGTAGGCACCCTTATCATACACAGCAGGCCTCATTCCACCAATAACATCAGCTGACCTTTTCTATAGCGTGAGACCAAGATCTGAAGATGCTGTACTGAAAGGGGATGTCGTGTATATTGCAGAGCCTACCTCCGATAACCTCAAGAAACGACAGGGCCTCATTTATTTTTCTGGTAGCTCAGGTATAGCCCCGAGCAATCGCGCTCTGTGAGTTCCCGTGTACACATAATTTGACAGCGAGACCAAATTCTAACAATAAACAAAGTGCAGATGAATTTGCCAAGGTAAACTTCAATGCTCTGGTTCGATCAAATAATCTAACAAGTCTTAGGCCGGTTATATCACTATAATTATTAACTATTGGGGCAAGCATCAAAAGATAGATCAAAAGACAGAAGGTTCTGAGTAGAAATACTTCTTTGTGTCTGGCAAGAGCTGATTATATTAGTAGACTCCGGCCCGTGGGAGACCAGGGATCCTGGTAGCGAGCCAAGTGAGAGAAAACGAGCCTCCGTGATCAAGAACGCCTTGGATTACCTTCGGAATAATCGAAACTGTACCCAAGTCGGTGGAGTGGGATACAGCGGTGGTGCCCTTCCACGTCAGTTCAATTCTTCAGTGAGACCTAGAGCAATTCCAAGACACATGCTAACTTCTCCAGTCATGAACTTGATCCAAGAGCGTCCTTGTCGTATCGAAGCCGCGTTCATGGCTCATCCTGGGCGTTTGAAAACATCAGCATATGGAACAAGTAAGAATGAGTGTTTCATATATTCCTGCAGCTTTCAGCTCTCTTTCATCTATTCAGTATCTAATATCTTTGGATGACTCTAGTCCAAGTACCACTATCTCTTGCTCAGGCATGGGACGATCGATCGGTTGACGTACGAACTCGTCACGAACAAGAGAAGGAACTCATCGACATGGTTATATCAACCAGCGCAGAGAAAGATGCCATCAAGTCGGGCAAGTTGCCGCCAAGAGTTCCTTGGCAAATGAACCTGTTCTCGGGTGTTGAATATGCGTTTGCTGTTAGATTGCCAAGCAAAGGTTCACTGAGTAGAGACGAAGTCTACGCAAAGCGAGCTGCATTTTCTCAAGCAGTCATGTGGTTCAGAACCTATATGCCAATCGGCGAAAAGAAGTTGCAGTACGACGTCTGATAACTGAAGAATGAGATACATGAGCACTCATCGATCTCCTTCACAGTTTCTGCCAAGACGATTTTTTTTTGTGCTTAAGGATTAAATTTTTTAAAGATAAATAAGTTCAAGAGATCTATGTTAAAAATAAATTCAAATGCCCGATTAAAAATGCTGCAAAATATCGCAAAATATCCCTTAGTACTCTTGAAAATCCAGCATCAAACCATCATTCTGAATCATCAATCACAATTGCGTCATCCCTGCTTCCTCCAGTATGGATTCTTTCCTCCCTCTGCATTTTAGTGTTGACCAAAGATTCTTCTTCCGAGTCCATATTCTCATTAATATCTTCATCGTCCGCGGGTACTACATCTTCTTGGTCTTTCATATCTCCATCAACATCCACGTCACTTCCTGACACTTCCTCATCTGTATCTAAATTCTGTTGGCTATCGTCATCGAATCCAAGAATTTCTTGATCTTCCTGGTCTTCCAAGTCTTCATCAACTTCCACTTCACTCTCGTTTGAAATTTCTTCATCTGTATCCAGATTCTGCGCGTTCTCGTCCTTGGAGTCAGGATCATTATCACCCTTACTTGAAATTTCCTCATCTGTGCTCCAATTCTTCCCGTCCTCGTCCTCGGACTCAAGATACTTTTGATCTTCTTGATCTTTCATATCTGCGTCAATATCTACGTCACTATCATCCGACACTTTCTCGTCTATGTCTGAATTTTTCTCGTTCTCGTCCTCGTTTCCAGCGTCTGTTAAATCGTCCGTGCTTCGGTTGAATTCTTGTTCGAGTTGTGCGATTACAAGATCGTCGATCTCTTCATCGGAATCCGTTTCACTCCGAGTCGTTATCTCCTCAACTATGTCCAAATCTTGGTTGGCTTGGTCATCAATTGCAATAGATTCTTGATTCACAATATCTTCGTCATCTTCACTCCCTCTACTGATATCTCTTCCTTGGAAAGCTTTTCGCAGTTTGTTTCCAAGTGCTTGTAGAAGTGTAGGTGGCATAGCATTTCCAATTTGAGTGTGTATATCGGTCATCTTCATGTTATCCATATCCCATGTAAAGTTATCTTTGAAGCCTTGAGCTCTGGCGAATTCTGTCACAGTGTATAATCTGTGTAGATAAGGATGAAGAGTCTAGACATATGCAATTAGATTCTGTAGCCATTCATTAATCGCCAGGGAAGACTTTTAACATACAAAATTGGTCGTTGAAGGAGAACCAAGCTTCGTAGTGAGTACTTTGAAGCTGTCATCCACAGATTGTCTCCCGTATCTTCCGCAGTAGTCTCTTCGAAGAACATTGTTTTTCTGTGAATCAGCTGTTGTTTCTCCCAAAAACTTTGGCAAAATCTTCTGAGGAACACCCCTATAATCGGCTCCACCTTCGAGCGGAACGTTGCAGACTCGTTCGGTGTCCAAACTTGAACTCCAACTTGTCACATGGTTGTATAAAAACTGCTCGGACAGAGATTTCCGCGGACGCAATCGTCTTTGAAACTCTGATAACGGCTCTGAAGCATAATTTTGTTTGGCCAAACCGATATACTTCTCTTTTTTCAAAGTTGGATACTGAGCAATGCTTGGATTTCGATTCAATTGACTCAATCTTTGTAATCCTGTTTGGGGCATAATCAGGTGGGGATTCTTCCATTCGAATGGGAGCAAATCTGAAACACAATCTCCTATCGTAACAGATTGATGCGGAGCCGACCTCCTTACTTGATGGGAACTTTTGGGAACTTTTCCATTGAAGATATGCGTTGCTTGAGGAAAATCCGGAAGCTTATACCCTGGTAAAGAACCCCAAAAGATGACTCGTGTTCTGGAAGACGGTGAACCATATGCACCTGCTTGGAGAGTTGCATGTTGACATTGATATCCTAAAGATGTTAAAACTCGGAAAATTAATCTGTAGTTTTTGTTAGTCGCATCCTACCTTGAAGATTTCTTGAAGTACATAATACTCACTTTATTGCGCCGCTTGTCAAAAAACCATTGTCAGATGAATAATTCGGAATATCAGTACCGTTGAGCTATCATAATTTTTAGTAAGATTAAAAGTTTCAATATGTTCTATATAGAGAAACCTACCGGGTGGTATTTTATGCCAGAGACATTCTCCAACAAGCAATATTTGGGTCTATAAAACTCCAGGTAAGAGAGATAAGTGGCGATTGACTCTCTCATAGGACATATAGGGTTTTTCAGTAGCTTTTTAGGGTTATTCTGACGGTTTGCTCTACTCCATCCTTGGCAAGGAGGTCCTCCAACAATCATATCGATATCTCCTTTTGCGGGCATTCTGGGAAAAACCCTCCCATCTATATCAGGTGGGATACCTTGAACGAGTCCAGCGTCAATCTTCATCGCCCATTCTAAAAACTTGCCTGCATCGCAATTGTATACATTCGCTTCTGGTGAATTTCTTGCAAATGTCTCACAGGCTGCGGTATCAGACTCAATGGCATAGCTAGTCCCTATCACTCCACTTTCATGCAAGCCTTGGTTTGATCCGCCTGCGCCACTGAAAATATCCTTGTCATTTGATCAGTATATGTCTCAAGAACGTCAAAAGAGGATTTGTATGAGCCCACCAGAGTGTTCAATTTTGGACCATCCATCTTAGTCATTTCTTGCTTTCTCTCTCTCTCGAGCCTCTGTTCATTTCCTTTTGAAAACTTCAAATGTTCTTTAGGCATAAGCTCTAAGTCTTCGACCGTAATTGAATCTTTTTCCAAGTCGTGAGGGATATATTCCTGAACCCAGAATGTGTCATCGAGGTCTTTATAAATGTTTAGATCTTCAATTTGCTCTATGTGCCTCACAAAGCAGTGGCCGTCAAGATCCTTTGGATTCAACAATTTAGACTTCCACCGGAATACTCTTCTATTGTCATGGGTTGCAAACGGGATGTTCATTTCGATTTCCTCCGATCTCTTAAGCCGAAAGTGGTCGTCGTAACGTTCGTAATTATCCACGGTTAACTTGACGCTGGGCTGACCTTTCAAGTAGGTGACCCGAATGTTCTGTATTTGACCAATATTGTAAGGGTGCAATCCCTTTGAATTTGAAGTATGTTTTGAAATAAAATAAACGAAGTCTTTGAGTTGATATTTCGTACCCTTGTAAATGAACCCAGTAGCAGATTTTTGTTTCTTGTTCAAGTTCAATACCCTTAGCAGTTGATGATTCTCATCATATTTGATTCTTTTGAGGGCGCAGCACTCGCATTCCTCGAAAAGAGATTCTTCTCCTTGTATCGCTATTGCCTTGGCTTCAGAAAAGCTTTGGAGCGAATCATCGCAGCGCAGTCGATAAAGGTATCTGTCTGGGCTTCTGTGATACTCTTCTTCGACCATATCGATTGCTGAGTCGTTGGTGTCATCGCTGTTTCCACGGAAATCGACTCTGATTTTGGCTCTTATCTCGGCCTTCGAGATATTCGCACATCTGGAAGACACGAAAAGCACCCTTGGACTGGCCATTTCTCCAATTATGGTATCACAGCCCCTTTCAAAATATCGTATGTGGGCCATTGGTTCCTCATTCTTGCAAAGTTAGGTCGCTCAAATCTTGAGTTATAGAGTTAACTTACTTCTTTGTATAAGTATACAATGAGTGCACAATGAACTTTGGACTCAATTTCAGCTTCTCAGGGTCAGCTTTGGTCAAGCAAAAAAAGATGGATATTTACCATCCTGAACCAAAATGCCGTCTCCAGCTCGACACTTAGCTTGACACTCGATCAAGTTCTCCCTGCTTTCACGAAGAAATTGCTCCGCGGCACTGTGAGCTGATAAAATTTCTTCATGATATTTCTTGGAGCCCGATCTCGCTAACGTTTGATCCTTGTTTAATTGGATAGTCATGAGTTCTCTGTTGAAGAGGTTGCCAGCTACTTTTGAAACGAATGACGTTGCAGGCGTTTTCGACTTAATTGGCTTGGTTGACTTGATTGATTCGGCTGACTTAAGTTTTTCCAGAGACCTCATGTGAGAATCGAAGCCAGACCTTGATTGCTGGCTACTATAGTCAATCTCTGAGTCAGATTCATCCTCAGAGCTTCCCTCATCGACATCCGATTCATCAGATATCTCGATATCCGAGAATTCTCTTTTCGCGCCAGTGACAGCATGATCCACTTCTCTGGCACAAGCCTCTGTGTTATTTTGAACAATATCTCGCTCATGGTCAAGAACGATTTCTTGCTTCGTTTCATCGTCACTATCATCAATCTCAATGATCTCTCTTGGCTTCACTTGTGGGATCCTCGAATCTTCAACCTCATCATCTGGCAGTTCGTCATTGCTAATAATGTTCGGCCGACTCTGTTCTGGTGTCTGGCTTGATTTGACCTTCTTCTCCGGTCTTTCACTGACTTCCAATTGTTCCAAGACCCTCTTCGGGATCCAAAACTCTCTCTCTTGAATCGATTCTTGCGTCTTTTTAGCTATTTCGAGACAGGTCTTGGGCACGTCAAAAGAGTTCGCTTCCAGGATTGTGTATGCTTCATCTTTGGGATGAAGTTAGTATTAAAGTTAGATGGTAAGGAAGAGTTGAATCTATCTTGGCCAGTAATTGAACTCACTGTTTGTCAAGCTAGGATCGATTTCAAATAGTTGTGCGAATCTTCTGCGGAACTCAAATCGTGGCAGAGATTCCATGACTGTCTTCAGTGATTGGGATCGGTGTAAGCAACATGTAAAGGAGTCGAAGCAAACTTGTCTTAGTGGATATTGATAATATGTTGAAAGGGATTAAACATAAAAGATATAACGAAATAACGAAATAAGATATTGTGTAAGAAGGAAGAAGAAAGACAGAGGAACGAGATCCAAAGGAGCTTTTTAAAGGTCTCAAAAGGAAGCTAGTGATCTCTCTCTTGCCTAAAGTGAATTACCACGACGAGTAGGTACCTATCTAAGACTACATGAATTCGATGGGCTAAGAGTTTCTGTCTGAGAGACCATAGACTTAAAGGTGAAAGTCAATATCATTGACATCCACATCCGAGGTGTGTCTTCATATTATCAAGAGAAATTTGTACATTGATAATAACTTGCCATTTTGAAAGTATGTACTCTGTTTTGCAATATGACACATGTTTGGTCCTCGACTTTACTTCACCAAAGCTACACCACTATGAGAATACTCATGAGGAAATAGTGTGTAATCTCACAATAATGGAGACCTTTAGCGAAAGTCCGATGCATATCTATAAAATGAAAAGATAATCTTTGGAATATTGTCATTTCAATCGTTCATACATATTTTCTTCCAACAGAGGACAGTTGAAAATGCTAAGAGCCTTTCGAGTCGCCCTGTATAAATATCAGTTCAGATTTGTCGATTAAATTTGGAAAATTCAAATTATGTTCTCTGCTCTTCTCTCTTCGTGGTTATTCATCTTGTGAAATGTTCTCGAGCATGAGAGCTTTTAAATCTTGAGTTGTCCAACAACTGTCCTTCGTTTCTTCAAGTTATGGATTTCCAAGATTATCAGCTTATTCTAGTTGCAACCATGAATTCTGAGGCACAGGATTCGATGTATCTCACGTCAAAAAAAATCGACTATCGAACCCATAGAATGAGACTAAGACGTATGTAAAGCCTAGGGCACTCGCGCAACTGACATCGCCCTACGACACTTTCAATTACAAGGTCATAGATCATTCCCCTTATCAATTCAGTTTATAGAGCTTGAACTCATGAGATCAACACGAGTTACAGTAGATTCCTCTTCTTGTATAACATTTTCATGGTCTTCTACCATCTCTCACTAGAGGTCTATCATCACATCAAATCTCATATCACAACAAAATGAACCGCCCCAACAAAAAATTATTCCACGGAGAAGAGATGAAACAACGTGAAATGGTACTCCTGATTGAGCCAAAAGAATTGAAGCGGTGATACTATCGAAACAGCGACCAAATAGCCATACCAGCCCGCGAGTAGCTACAAGCTAGACCTCGAAGGACTTACTCATATTTTGAAAACTCATTCAATGAGGCGCGACATCTGTACTCAGAAACTCCGACTAGAAGACCCTTCGATATTGCTCGAAATGTTATCCGACTTCAAATATTCATCTCACAATCTCATGTTACTAAGACAAAATACACAGACCCTGAAAATCTTAAAGCTGATGTGAAAACATGATAACACTAATCAACTTTGGTAAAGCTACTTAACACGAAGTCAAATGAGATTATTTCTTTCTAGAATATGAACCTTTACCTAACTCTCCACCTTGGTTTAATCCATCAGCATGCGAACTGGCTTACAAAATGGAGTTCCCCAGATGAACTTCATGATATCTCTCTAGCTTTAGACAACATCATTAAGGAATCTCCTGCGCGCACCCGCCACAATTTATACTATTTCACTCGAATGCCTCTAATCAAAAGTATCTTAATGATGGATCTTTAGCCTAATATCATACTCTGCAGTGTCTGGCCCTAAAGCTACTCTACACCGTGGTGCATCAGCTACTACAAGCACATAACCCTGTATACTGAAGATTTCATAGACGACTCATCCATTTGACTGGCAATGACTTTGACTAGTAAAATACCGCTTTTACTTAGATCTGATGCCGCATATTTACAGTTCACCAGTTCTCAAACACTCTGTTCCACTGGATATCGAAAATCTACCTATGTATCCACAATCCTATCCCATTCCACGTCTTCCTATCCCTTCCTGCTTCTTAAAGCAGATGATCCCACTTCATCACAATCTCCCCCCAATCTTCTCAAAATCCTACAAAGAAAGCACTCCTTCAATCGAAACCCCAGCATCCCAACCTATTCTACTCTCCCAAACCATCAATCCGCTTTTCTCATTCCTCCAACTTTCAACAATAATAGCAAAAGCAATATGCTCTCCATATCTCGACACTAACTAACCCATCTTCTCCATCTTACCGCCAAAAAGAGAGCTAACCCTACGTCTCCTTCCCATCTATAGCACAGCTAAGTAATCTTACATACATATCGTCAATCCTTCCCAGACACACTACTTCCTAATCTCTCTTGCCGATAGACAACCACAAACCCAAATCACTGTGAATGCGATACCGAAAACCCCAAGGATACGTTAAGTGAACGTTATAAAATGATACAAATCAAAGTTAAGTTAAGATAAGATAAGTAAATACAAAAATAGAAGCAGACAAACAAGAATGGGAAACAGAAGGGGAGGAATAAAGGTGGGATGCCGGAGATAAGTACGCGCGCAAACCGGGATGGGGTGATGGGATGACGGGGTAGAGAAAGAGCGGGGCGGGGAACCAGGGAGTTGGGTTTGGATTTGGGATGTTAAGGCTTGGGGTGTCAGGGTCTAGGATGTTGGGATTTGGATGTTGAGGGAAGTGGGAAGATGGGGGATCGTGAGGCGGATTATGGATACGAATTCTTGGATCTTTTCCTAGAAGATGAAGAGTTGAGGGATGAAACACGGCGTTTATGATTTTTAGTGTCGAGGTATTTCTTTTTCTCATGACTTGGTAAAGATTTAGATTGATATCGATTAGAGATGGGATTGAATGATGTATGAACATTATGCATTATATGCTTATATACTACTATAATCTATGACAATCTACCAACGCCCAAGACATACATATGCACCATCCCCATTTTCGCATCAAAACACCATCAAGAAGCATCCATAAAATGCAATGCAATGCAATGCAATACCATGCCATGCTCACATCCACAGAAACAAACAAGCAAAAACACACTCAATCCCAATGCCCATGCAAATACTCCCCCTTGCTCACAATACTATCCTGACAATCCTTCAAATACCTCGCCTGTCTGGCCACCTCCGCAAGTCTATCCAGCATCCTCCCATTACTCTCTCCAAACCCATAGACTTCATATTTCAATCCCGTTTCCGCGCAGAATTCCTTCACGTATCCACTCGCTTTACGTAAATTGTGTCTCGGCATGCGTGGGAATAAATGATGGGTGACTTGGAATTGGAGACCGCCATGGAACCAATCCATCCACGTAGGACAGTCTACATCCATGGTTGTGCGGAACATGCGTTGGATCCAGTGTTCGCTTGGTTCTGATTCTTCGGTCGACATGGAGAAGTGGGAGACGGTTAATTGGAGATGGAGTGGGAGGGTGATCATGTGACAGATGAGACAGAAAATGATGCGTTGAGAGATGGTAGGGATACTGCGGTAGACGAGGAAATATCCAAACCAAGTCCAGAAGAAGATTTGCCCGACGAGTTCGAAAATTCGTTGTTTGCGGTGGAGTTTGGTGCCGAGATCGCGGAGGATAAAGTCCCAGGCGAGATAGTAGAGATTGAAACGTGCGACCGAGAGGAGGAAATAGTATGTCCATGCTTGCTTTGGGACCATGAACTTTGCAAACCAGTTGTAGTGCATGATACATTCGGAAGCTGTCGAGTACAAAGAATCGAAGAATACCGGCGAAATGGCGATGAAGGGTAGGATTTGAAGATCTTGATCATGGGTGGGCGAATTTGTAACAATGTGATGAATATTGTGATTGCGTTTCCACCAGCCTATCGAAAGTCCACCGCAAAAATTCAAAACCACACCACCGATTAAGAAATCAATGTTATAATCGTGGGTTACCGCCAAATGACCTGCGTCATGTGCCGTGGCGACGATTTGATGCCAAAACATGCCGAGGAATGCTGCGCTGGTAGCATACCATTCCATACGAAGAAAAACCATTGAAAGAGAGAATAAAATCGTACATCGTAGAATTTCCGTTACATACGCCGATAGCTTGCTATCGTATAGACCTTCATTTTCCAATCTCGCAATTAGAGCTTGGAATCTAGTCTCCAGTTCTGTGGCGTCCATCATCTTAGTTTCCAGATCGGGAATCTCTTCGGAATCAACTGAACTTCCCTCGGTTCGATTTCGAAGTCGTAAACCCTCTTCATCGAACACGGAAGAGGCAATGGAGCTCGCATCACTGTCCGGATTTGCTTGACGCGGCACAGCTAAGAGATTTTCGGTGACGCTGACATCAAACAAAGGAATTTCGGTGATAGGTGTTGAAGGTTCTTTTTCGACCTCATTCTCTGGTATCCGAAGTGATTGCCGTTGAATTGGAGGTATAATGTTTACCCATGGTTCTTCCAATTTACCAATTCGATAACGGGCCATTTGGGCCTTGACCTCCTTGCTGTGAAATCTAGAAATAGTCAGCTACTATAATTCATTCTCAATCCTGCTTATATCAACAACTCACGCATCCAATTCAACGGTAGCATCTCTTCCCACAACATGTAGAATAACTTTTGCACCACCGGGGTGACGGTTAAGCCATGCGTCCAACTTCAACACATATCCCTCTGATATAACAATCGCGTGACCTTGCTCCACCAACTCTCTGATCTCCTTCAACGGCCACACCTTCTCACTCCTGACTTTAGACGACGAATCCATAATAGTTGCTTTGACCGAAGTGTCAAATTCGCCAGTTTTATTTTTCTCGTGCGACGGAGCTTAAATAAAATGTGTTTAAATGCGGTACAGTAAGATTAGCGATTAGCGGAGATTAAATAAAAAATCAACACGACCCAATCTTAGATACGCCCCAACAGTGAATGACTTGGCGTGTAGGTATGGACCACGAATTAAGTACACGCTTATGAATGAAGAGCGTTGTGAAATTGTTAGATGAGGAATGAACACAAAAATACACTCAAGAGCCCTGCACAACAAAGGGGAATCACGTGCATAAGCACAAACATAGACGATTGGGAAAATCAAATCAAATCAAATCAAATCAGAAAATGAGAGTCGAAATGGGAAAGCCCAGGTATAAAAAGCAGTAGTACGATGATACCAGATATTATCTAGGTTGGTAAGTACCATTCAATCATACACATGATATCCCCTTTGGTTCGCCAACACAGCCCAATTACTGTTTTCTTCTGATGACCCATTGTTTTTTTTCTGCACCTCGCTGGCATGAACTTTTAACGTGGAGTAAGAATTCCACTCTCGGGTTTCACGGAATTTGACCTATCAGTGTCAGTTTCTACTTAGGTCAAACTAAGTTTACTCCTGTGCCGGTAAACTTGTAGTAGGTTAGATCAGCTTGTCCTGTCAAGCCGCCGGTGCTAACCACATGTAACTGCGATCTGATAATTTGTTATCGTTGAATCGTGCCATATAGTATAGCTGCCTGGAGTTTACAGAGCACGTATTCAATACGGTCATCAGAGCTTGGAGCTCAGCCCACTGCCATTTCACTCCGTTGAGTCCCTTCTCATGGGGATTTATATTAAATTGGCCGGGGGCCATCGTTGAGATCCACAGGGTGATGAAGATCCACTTGTGAAGACCCTTTTCAGATGAGAAGGAATGGAAAACCGTCTTACCGGTACATCGTTGGCTAATTTTCCGTAACTTCCGGACGGAGCACAGGATACGCTGCTTACACAATGGATTTTCGCATGTTCAATGGAGGATTCGTAAATTAAATCGGGATCGGAGGCTGTTGATTTGTTGGCTCTCACTCCATTCATGACATTGTGATCCTGCTCTGCATCGTCAATCTGACTGTTGAACCCCTATTTATCAGAGGCTCACTCAGAAGTCGTCACAATAGCATTAGGGATTAGGGGTGGCTCATTCGATGCGTCGTAGTTGCGCGACTAATAATTCAGACTACTGCGTACTAAGTACCTTTCAACCTTTCCTATTAGTTCTTAGTTCTATCTGCCAGGAGTGGGAATTTCCCTATCGATAATTGCTATCAGCATTACGACCTATCCGCCTGACTGTTCGCCTGACTCTCGTGAATAATGCATCCGCCAAAATTTAACATTCACACTCCAATTGTGAATCTGAGTATCGATGAAGGATGTCATGTTATGGAAACTAGTTACAAAGTAAAGTTTATTATTGACGCCAATTGAGCTCAAATAGGTGGTGGTTATGATTCAGCTTCAGCTGGTGCTGAGGAAAAAGAAAGCAAACAAACAAAAATGAGGTTCAAAAATAGACACGCTATTCAACCGACTATAGCAATGAATGCCTTGCAGATAATATCTACAATGATTTCGTGACAGGTAGTAAGGTAGTAAGGTAGGGCGAATCTTCATCGTTCTATTCTCATACAATTATAGGTGAAGAATAATATGTAAAAGGTAGACAAGACACAGATTGATATCGCGATTGTCATACAAAATAAAACATCTCCGTATTTTACCCCGCATTGTAGCAGTGCAGTGCAGTCTACCTACACCTAGGTACCTACCCCTTTTAGGTTTTAGGTAACTCGGTAGGTACTAAGGTTCGGCCGATGCTTGAAAGGGGATAGTCGCCAGTACTAGTAAATAACCAATGTTTGTTTCTTCTTCTAAATATTCAAGGTTATGATCTAGAATAGCATCTTTGTTTGTGCTCTTCCAAACGGCACGAACATACGACATCGAGCATATTATTAACGCCAATCGAATTGCCTATTCGTACATTTTGAGCGAAATTCATAGCAGAGATACTCACTAGCTCTTCTTAATGTTCGAAATATCCGTTTGCTTCACTCGAATGAATTCTTCAGGAGTCATCAACATGACAAGCGTTTTGAGGTGCTTCTGGAGCTCTGGTTCCATGCTGAAAGATATAATTTGGTGATGAGTCAACTAGCAGCACTTCCTATGCAGCTAACATAAAACTTGGCAGGTACGAGTAGGCCCTCAACTATTGGAACAGGTGTGGATGGTTCAAATCTGTTCAAAGGCCTTCGTTAGATATCGTGAAACCGCCCATCAATCAGGTTTTCACCGTCTACTCAAAGCTTAAAGATCACTGTTTACCTTGATTGCTTTTCTACCCAGTATTCACATCACCTAGCATCTTTTCATACAATGATCTTCCAAATAAGCGAAGTAACTGCTGAATCTGAATGTCAAAAGATTGTGTTCGCATGACTCACTTGCTACGATTCCCCTCCTCCAGTGTGCCTCGTACGCTTTCCTATCACCGTATCGATGAGAGTTTGGAAGCTCGAATAAACTCAATCAAGGAAGGTACTGCACGTTTCGTCGCTCCCCAAAGGTCCAGATCATACCAGCGTCGGGTCGATGCAACTGATCCTGAGCCTGCAAAAGTTTTTGGCAAAGCCGAACGGAGATTTTTTTAATCGGATCCATATAAAGATATTTCATTGCCTGAAGCAAGTTGGTGGCTGGAGAGTGAGAATCGAGAGTTTACTACGAGGTATTGGCATGGAAGAATGAAATTAAGAATCAAGTGTGTGGCAGATTCCTTCCAAATTGTTCCCCCGGCCGATATAATAAATGCTCGATCTCCTTTACGGCAGTATCCATGGATGATTATGAACTAGTCAGCCCATCGTCGGCTTCGAAAAGATCATCGTACTGATGAATAATGGCTCTTCGATAGTGTTTGATGAAGATGGTGAGAGTAACATAAGATGTGGAATCTCTTGGTGTCGAATAAGGTGGTTATGAATATTCCATCGCCGTCTCGGCCTTAACATAATTCTTTGCAAACAACAAACTCATTTGGTTCTCCATATACTTGCACTCAAAGATGATCAACGCAGTTCTTGCTGAACACGATGCAGATGATACGATCGTGGTGTGAAAATCCCGATATGCCAATAAAGCGAAAAAACATGGGGTAGCTAAGGTTAGCTCAAAGCTTAATCACAGTCATGATATGTATGGGTATGACTACAATCCTTAGTAAAATTCATATGATTCGAAGTAGGAAACTCGAGTCATTGCTCCAGTGACTTTAATCCTGTCAAAGTGCTTATAGCTCGCAGCTCTTCTCAACCTTTTCTGAGTACACAACTAATCAAACATCCTTCAGTATTCGTTCTGCATATCAAACCTCGACAAATCGAAACTACACACAGTACTATAAAGCACATTTTAAAACACAAGACTGAATCAAGAAAGACTTTCAAACTTCCATATCTTAAGATGGCTCATCGGACTCTTGATTCCCTGAGTTTTGGCCAACCAAGAGCAGGTCAAAGTCACACACACCAAGTTATCGATGTCAAAGAATCTTTGGAAAAACAAGAAGATCCAAAAACGCCAGAACCGCAGTGCCACAATGTACTCGATTTAACAAAGTTTCTTGAAAGAACCATCAATGTCTCTAGTGGGGTTATTGATAGTGCACTTGGTCGCAAGCGTACAGCACTTGATTTGTTACGTAATCGTTTCCCTTTCCCGGACAACTACACTTTCCCGGACAGCTACTTTTTCTCGGGTTACCATGGACCCCCTCAGCCTCATTCACTGTCGAGTAATCATGATCACGCCGCAGGATTAGATCTCGCATGGCTCTTTGCAATCTTCAACACCATTTTTTTCATGAATGCACTTCCAACCAATACCAGAATCGATCGACAAATCAGTGTAATCTTCGAATATGAGCTTAGGGTTACTCTCTCCGAACAAGGAGATAATTTCTTCTCGAGGTTAGCTTTTGTCGACAATGTTCATGCCGGTTTTAAGAAGAGGGTCGATAAAAAGTTTCTACCTCCCACAATCGACGTCCCTTCTAGCGTCATTGATCGTTTGGGTGCCGGACACGTGGATGTCACTTGGGAGGATCAAGTTGGTAGTCTCTTGGGGTCAATGATCGATCTCTTTATACAGTACTACAGTTGTAGACAGGATGAATGTTGGAATAACAAATACACTCATGGTAAAAAGCACAGAGGGGCAGCGTGGCAAATCATCGCATACCGTTTCGAAAAATCTTCAACAATGAAAAAACCCCAAGAGACATTGGGAAGTCCTATAAATTTGAAAAGAAAGGAAGATTATGAGTGGGATTTGAATCATTGGAGTTCCAGAGAGCTTGACAGCCTTGAGAGCAAGTTACTCTGCCACAGGATTGAGACGTGGGGCTGGGCACCTTACAATCAACTGTCGTGTGTAAGAGCTGTTCAAGAGAGGAAACGAAGCCAGGCTAGATATGAAGAAAGGCGGCAGGCTATGGTTAGAAACGAACGAATGCGGCAGGATTTGACTAGAGATGAAGAAAGGCCGCAGGCTACGGCTAGAGGGCCAGAAAATCATACTGAACTGGGAGAGTCTCAATATGGAGGTTCAGATTCTCGCTCTAGAGAGGATGGATCTCGTTTTGGAAGAATCAGATCTCCGTTTAGAAGTTGAAGAGGGCAATGATGGCTTTCAATATTTCTTTGTATCTTGACTGTATTATTACTTAAGCAATAAAGCTAGCGTGACTTTACACTTTTCTTCAATTATTCGTGCTACTTACATGTGTTGAGTTGGATGTATCACATTATTGGTCAGTACAGTTTACATATCGAGTATGACTCCTGTTAAGTTTCCATTGACATACACTTTACAGTCATTAGCTGATGATTCGTAACGAATGATCTTCGCGAGATAATGAATGGATCTTCACACCCAGTAATTCCTCCACCAACAATTACTTACACTGTCATTCAGTGATTTCCCTATTGATTCTTCCTTAACTCCAAACAACATTTGTTCTGCATACCACGCTGCAACACCTTCAGCAATAAGAAATAAAATCAAGCAGATTACGACATAGCAATTTCCACAAAGAAAACCGATATCACACGAACACTTTTGTAAAGCAAACATGCCTTGCAAACATCAGCAATATACCGCCACGAGACTTTCGGGACCATTTGTATTTGCTAGGCCATACAAATACGATACCTCCGATTTGGTTCAAGCCCTTGAGGACAGCCTCAATCCATCTGGGGATGAATTCAAATCGTTACGGGAAGACATTCTATACAGTATCAAAAATCATACAGATCAGACTTTTTGAGAGAAATGGACGACGATAACCCTGAAAGACTATCCCTCAAATCATTGGACTTAATATTCTCAAGATTCAACGCCTATTTTTTCAAGAACACTCTTCCGCAATATACAAGGATCTTTCGAAAAGATAAAAACAACATAATTATCTTACCAGGATGTTGCCTCTCTTTCAAAGAAGCCTCGTCATTAGGCATTCTCGCTGCTGCAACTAGAATCTTCCACAGTTCTACCCGCGAGATCGATCGTACTGAGCCACCCTGCCTATTCCTTCCGTCTAAGGGTACTTCCTCTCCCAACAGCAGCCCTGGAGATGACGTAAGCGCTCTCCTAGAAGCAATGATCGATCTCTATCTGCAATGATACAGTTGCTGTAAGCCCAGCTGTCTGGAAAGCATTACCGCTTGTGGGAAGCTCGGCAGAGGACAAGCATGGCAGAAGATCGCCAACCTGTTAGAAAGGTCTGAGATGATGAGCGATATGCAGACTTTGATTGGTTCGCAGGTGCGCTTGAGAAGATATGAGGGGTTTGTTATGGAATTGAGCTATTGGGACAAGCCGAGGCGGTTGATATCATTGGATTTGTTACGGGAATTGGGGTTGGTGGCATGGACTGTGGATGATTTTGTGTATGCTGTGGAGGAGTTACATAGAAAGACACTTACTTCCCCAAGGGGATGGATTTAAATAGTGAGGAGTTTGATAGCGGGGGGATGTCTTCATTTCTTTTATGTATTAGCAGATAGTCGAACAATGAAGTCAGCGTGATTTTTACTCTCATTTGGTTGTTATACTGAGTATTATTTGTATTTATAGATTGATTTCTAGATGTCTGTATACTCTAATGCGACTCTTGCCTGACTAACTAATATATCTTGTAGATGTATGATGGTCAATTATTAATTAGGTACTATCTAATTGGCAATCGCCATATATCAGATCTGCTTCTCAGTTTCGAATTTTGATAAATCGGTTGATACTCAAGTTAACTACCTGTCAATATCAGTGCCTAGCAATACAAATACAAACGACTTAAATCTTGATGTATAGAGAGTTGATTCTTGATCACGAAGATCTTGTCTCGTCATATCAAAGTTCTCTAATTCAATTTATCCCCTTCTCCTTGAAGAAACATACCCTGGTAATGAATTGCCGAATTACCCCTAATTATTGCTTTACAGACTAGAAGTTCCGGATACCTCATGTTCAATTATGGTATCGTGGTCCAAATTTATGGACGCAATACAAATTTTGAGTCAAACCAGCTTGTGATATCGACCTTTCAGACTATTTTAATGCACAAATTGAATTGAGGTATTCGAAGTTTCTAGTCTCTGATCTGTTTTCTTAACCATTAGAAAAATGGACTATTCATACAGTATAGTATGACAAATTGTTGATGTGACGGCTTTCGAACTTGGTTCGTTCCAACGCCAGTAAAAGAAGTGAATAATCCTCGAATAATCCTCGGCAAGATGTTGGGTTGCTGTTAGGGATTTGTTTGGAAAACAACTGTAGGTCACCAACTGTTTGCTTATCATCCACCTCCTTCCATTTAATCATACCATTCATTGAACTTTCTGACCACTTTGAATTCGAGAGATAGAAAACAAAAATGTACCAAATGGAGGATTTAACTACCTTACTGTCGTTGCAAAATATTGCTGCAGCTATCATCGTTTATTTCGGTAGTCTTGCTTTCTACCGCTTATTCCTACATCCTCTTGCACAATTTCCAGGGCCAAAACTAGCCGCCATCGCAAGATACTATGAAGCATATTATGATATCGTACAGAATGGTCAATACACATTCAAAATTGCTGAAATGCACAAGAAATACGGTTTGAACAGATGACTATATCTTATCTCTCACATCATACATGAAGGCTAATAATTCACAAAGGTCCAATCATCATTGATCCAGCCTTTTTCGAAAAGCTCTACCGCTAAGATGGGCGTTGGCACAAGTATGGTTGGCCTTTAGATGGGTTTTCTGCAGGAGGTGCTACTATCTGCACGGCTGATCATGATATCCATAAGGCTCGTCGCCTACCTCTAAATACTTTCTTCTCCGAAGCTCAAGTTGCCAATAAACAAGATTTAATCCGTCGGAATGTTCAGAAGATTTGCGATCGTATCTCGCAATTTACTAGCACAGGACAGATAGTCAACCTAGGCGCTGCTACGAGCGCTTTTACTAGAGACGTTTCAACGCAATTTATTCTCGGAAAATCATATAACGTGATTTATCATCGAGTGGACCATATCATCGAGTGGACCACTTTCACCTTAATAAATATGACCAACTTCAACACGCGATTTATCAATTATTTATTATACAACTTAATAATAAAGAAGCACGCTTGCTTTTAGTTATCAAAGCTATTGAAAACAACAAAAAACTGAGTCTTCAAAAGGCCTCCCAATTATATAATATCCCTTGTACATGTCACGGGGCAGGCAGGCAGGATCAGGAATCTATATTCGACAGTGCTAAGAATAGTAGGTACAAGGTATAAACTAAGATATAGCTTGAAAAGCTACAATACAGGATCTTCCAACATAACGATATACAGAATTTTCATTTATAAGTTAATCTAACAAAACCTAGCTTATCATTTATTGGTTATATATATCTATATTATGATATTATCTTCTTTCTTCAAATCAAGCTTTAATAAAGTGATAAGTTACAATTTATAATCTCATAGGTGGGCAATTCAGATTAGGTAGATTCAGATTTATCAGAGTATTTATAATAAAAGTTGCGGATTAGTTTCTGTGTATTTTTTAAGTAGCTGGCGGGTTCTTCGGTTAGCTTATTATAGTTAATTCAATAAACAATATATTTCAAGTAAGGTTTTTTACAATCTCTTTTTTCCTAACGGGAATTCAGGATTTTGGCGATTTCGAAATGCTCCAAACCATTGATTTCTACAAACAGTGGCAATGGATTATACTATCCAGAAATGGAATTATTATATACGGAGTATAACAGATTAATATAAAAAACAGAGTGAATCCTTATAGAGATAGGGAGTTCCAGTTTATAGATATAAAGATCTATCAAGCTTAGAATCTTGAATAGACTAAGATTCTTCTAATCAAACTTCTTCTATAAATACAGGGTTTTGATATTTCTAGTATTTAGTTAGATTAGATTATTGGGGGTATATCAGTGAGTAGGGGAATAATGGAAATTAGTATTCTTCAAATATCAAATTTGGCTAGTAATCAATTTTATCTTTAAGTATAAGGAGATTACCTTTATTTTGAAGACAAATTCCTTAATATTTTTTATAATAAAACAATTGCTTTTGGATAGAGTAGGCTCAAAGCTTAAACAGAAATGAAAACTGTAATTGAAGAAGAACAGAATTATTCGGGTACTCTCAAATCAGGTATTGTTGATAAAGAATTTGGTAAGTGGAAGTTATTCTGTTTAATTATCTTATAGGTAAGCTATATACAATCTGAGGTATTGCTTTAATATTGTATTAGCTCTTTCAGTTTATTCATCAGTTTTGGAATAGTAAATAGTGGAGAGTCTAGCGGATACTCCCAAACACTTACAAATATACTTCCAGAATTCGGATACGAATTAAGCTCTACAATCGGAAATGATTATTAGAGATAAGCTATAAAGCTTTCAGATATTTCTTTAAAATAGATAAGCGATTTCTTTAGAGTTACAGATATTATAATAGAGCAGGAAATACTTTATTTTGATTAGGCAATTGATTATTATTATAATAATATCGAAATTAGTATTTTCGGATAGATATATAATGAAATCTATAGAAATATTTTGCTAGGCTTTTTATAGGATTGGGAGCGGGTAGAGGACTTTTTTCTGATTTTTATGATTGGGGATAATACAATAGTAATTATAATAATTGCGAACTTATTGTGTAATATAATTATAGTAATTAGATTAATAGTAATCTTGAAATAACAATTCGAAAGTTTGGATACAATACGAGTGATTAGTAATAGGGGACTTGTAATATAGATAAAGCAAATGAGATTTCAGAGGATTATAATTAGGAATATATAGTTTTTCTTGGTAATATAATAAGCTATTGTTTTCAAAGTATTCAATAAGAATAATTCTCGAGTATTTTGGGGATTCTTTTTGTAGAGATTTCAGAATGGATTTGGAAATAGGGTTAGCTTGATAGTCTTTTTAAAATAGGGATAATAGATCGGTAGACAGATCTAAAGGTGTTTTTCAATTCTCTAGAGATATTATAGGATTGGATTCTGGTATAATGAGTAGGAGTTTAAATTCAGGTGTAATAGGATTAGGAGGATTAATGATATCAGAGTTTCTTTAGCTTTGTGTAATGGCA